GGTAATAGTATCATCTACAACTTTTACTTGAAGCATTTCTCGATATTTTAAGAAAAAAAAATTTTTCGATTTTTCCGAGATTTTTCCAAGGGGTACCCCTTCAGATTTCGCGAAATTTTCGTTTTTTGCCAATAACTCCCAAACCGTTGGAGATACGAGAAAATTTCATCAGACGTTTTTTGTAGAGGACGACGAGACCTACAATTTCTGTATAAAAATTTCTCGCTAGCATTAATAGTTTACGAGTAATTTGCGAAAAACTGTTTTTTCGTTTTTCGTTAATAACTCGTAAACTATTAACGCTAGCAACAAACTTTTACATGGAAATTGTAGATCTCGTCGTCCTCTACAAGAAAGGTCCTATGCAATTTTCCTGTATCTCCAAGGGTTTAGGAGTTATAGAGGAAAAACGAAATTTTTTTCTAAAAGTTCGCCGTTTCGACGGTGGGATGGTCGGATTTTGTCAACATCAATAAAATGCCATATAATCATATGTAACTCATTAAATATCGAAATTAGAAGATAAATGCACTATTTTTAATGATAGGAAATGCGTTTTTCCAAGATTACATAAACTTTTCGGATTGACTGTATAGCCAATACATCCTTAAGTAGACCGTTTCATGGGCGTCTCTTTTCATGGTACAATTTTTACCGAGGGAGACTCGTCGAATACAGTTAGGTAAGAATTCACCGGAAGAATGTAAAACGACTAGCGATATCGATCCTCATTGAGAGAACTGATAATTATGAGTCGGATACGGAACGAACAAAATTCGGGAGAGACGTCGAACATCTCCTTCGGCACGATCTGTCCAAAATGCATCGACGGCTCGGCTACGAGAGCCGAGGAAGGGAAGTAAGAGGACCAAGATCTGACAGAACGAAAAAGAGGGAAAGGGATGATCGGATGTTTCCTTTCCCCGTGGACGGTCGCTCGACATGTCTGAGGGTCGGTTTTTCGCGAAAACGCTTGCCGACGCTACGCGACGGTGCGGTGGTTCGCGATTCTCTCTTGTTTTCTGCGCCAGTATATTATCCAGAGTAGTATCCAGTCGCTATAGCACAGAGACAGGTGTGGAGGAGCACGGGAAGGTAGAGGATTGGTGGAGATGCAGCTTAGGATTCCACGCATAGTCAAGGGGTTTCTGGTTGGTTGGTAAGTGGGACTAGCCGGGACTCATAGGCACCGTGTCTTCTACGAGAGCTCGCAGTCCCATTCGGAGCCTCAGAAACGCGTCTAGCCGTCTTCCTCCACGGAACGAGTTCCGTCCGTTCGTTCTGTTCGCGCGTTCTTTATCCTCGATATTCGATTGTACGACGATCGACGATGCGGAAAAACTTGAACAGCTCCGTGGCCTGAATCGCTCGGAACTCTTCCAGAGGAGAGAGAGAGAGAGAGAGTATCGGATACGGAATAGGTATTTGCGAGATTTCAAATCGACACCGATACGTCGCGTTTTTTACTGCTCTCTCGTTCGCGAATAAACATCGTCGTTCGGTTTTCCGCGAGCTAGCGGATCGCGCGAGGAACTGAAACTCGAAGACACCGGATCGAGGTTGGGCCAAGGGTCGGGGTCGAGGTCGAGACCCAGATCGGGACCAGCGTCGAAATCGAGGCCGCGATTGGACACCGAGGGTGAGTCTAACTAACAATAAGAACGACACGGTCTTTCGTATTTCTAAATCTCGCCACCCTGTTACACGTTCTCTCGTCGTGGCCGGTCACGACTCCTCCTCTTCTGTCTCTTTCGTTTCCATTTTCTTAAACGGTCAGGTCGCTCGCGTCGTGTACGCGAGATAAAATGAACATCGCGAATTAATAGACGCGGGCTTGCGTGCTCGGCTGCACTACGACTGAGTAACGTAACTTTAATTGGAAACCAGAGCGAACCATTAAGCGACGACCTGACGACTGAGCTTTTCATCGAATTAAACAAACGTTTTCATTTGTAACGAGAGTATCTTCGAAAATCGGTACTGAACGCAGGTATCGAACGATGACGCTCCGAATCGAAAGGTAAATCACGAGAACGAGCTTCGCGAGTACGAATTCGTACTGAGAATCTCGTGGAAGAAGAGTAGGAAGCGTGAATGCAGAACGCTTCGAATGTCGCATTAGGCGCGCTAGCCGCTTCAGTGGATCTCTGCATACCGCGGCCTTGAACATGCAAACAGAGATAACGGCTCGCGAGAAACGTACCTGGCTAACCCAATTTCACCACATCCGCGCGGTGAATTATATCGCGCTATAATTATTACGGCACCCTGTACGCGTCTCGACTTCCTACTGAGACAGCGACCGTTTCTTTCTCACCTTCTTCTAAACACGAACGGTCCGCCTCCGTGTGAAGATCGCGCATAATTTCATACGCAAATTGTTTCGTCGAGTAATCGTCGTGTACACGCGTTTATCGCGGCAACGTTACGTCGCGTGGCTGAACATTTTCATGGCTCGTTTGAAAAGAAGAGAATTGTAAGTTACGAAGATTCGCGGAGACTCGAGAGAGACGGAACGCGAATTCTTAATTCACGCTGTCGGTTTCGAAGACGCGCCTCAGATGAACGTCTGTTAAACTCGATCGCGCGCGACTCTCTTTCTCTCGTTGGTACGCGGTGGAAAAAAGGTGCCGATACCGTTAAGAGAGTTTGAACTCTCCCTCTGCGCCGGCCGTTTCCCTTCGTTCTCCTCATATCACTTTCTTCCCCGTGTTTCGCACTCTTTCCTAGACGCGATCGACTCTCTTCACTCGGTCGACCGTACGAGACGCGCCGCCGTGAAAGCTACGAAAGAAGCGTGAGAAAGAACGATATGTAGAACAAGATTGCTCGCGATCTATACTACGATCTCTGTGGCATCGCGATTCCATTAAACCCTGTCGTGACGACAACGGGACACGAAAACGAACACGGAGATGAAAGCGAAAGATCTGCCTGTAATTTGTTCGCGGATCGAGCGTTTAGGAAAGAGAAAAATCCGCGTCGAACGAAAGAGTTAATTAGCAGATCTCACGGACTGATCGCGTATCGTGATAGACGGTTTATTTTCAGGAGATACGAGCAGGGATAAAGAGGATTCGCCCGTCGCGAAATCTCTTCTGTCGATCGAGAATACTTAAACGAAGAGATGGAACCGATCCGAGGCGCGACGTGGCTGGTTCTGCTGGCAGTCGGCTGCACGGCTCTGCCACCGCAGTCGCAGACTCTCACCAAGGGCAACGACAAAATGAAACAAACCAAGGTGCCATTGTTCTTTAACGAGAACGAGTCTAACGAACTTTCGGCAATCACGTCGGACAAGGATAGTAACGGAGCGAACGGCGTCGGGACCACCGCGACCAGCAGCGTCGACGTCGGCGCGAACGATACCGCGTCTAAATCGTCGTCGCGTTTCGGTGTTTCCACCGCGATCAACGCGACCACCGCGCCGTCCTCGTCGTCGTCTTCGGTGACGTCGACGCCGTCGATGTCACCGGACAAGAGTCATCAGACGCTCGAACTGCCGTCGACGAGTTCGTATCTGCCAGTTCCGACGGTCGGCGACGCGAGAACGGAATCCGGTTCGTCGACGACGAGCAGCCGTGGCATCGGCACGACTTCGAGGACGACGCCGAAGACGTCCACGACTCTGGCGACGAACGCGAGCAGCCCGAACACGGGTTCGAGCGCGACTCCCACCGAGACGTCGTCCAGGACGATCGCCTCCGATCAGAACAACGCCAGCACGTTTCTGTCCTCGTCGAAGAAGTCGACGACGAGCTTCGTCGAAGTGACGACCACCCCTGCACCGGTTTCCTCCAAGGAGACCCGCGAGTCCACCGCGAAAATTCGTCCGCAGATCAAACTGACGACCAACTACACGAATCTCAGCGAGGTGAGTGAGCACAGCTGTTACCGTCCGCGGAATTTCGTAATCGAGCTCGTTCGAAGGTAGCCGTTAATCCGTTTCCCCACCGGGAAAAATTACGCCGTGTACGATGAGTATTTCACGCGCTAAGTATAACTGTTTGAGCCATAACCACGCTTTAACTATACCATAAGTACCGTAACTACGCTGCTATAAAGCGGTTACGTACCGCGGGTCGAAATATACGTCGCGACGTTACACGTATCAACGAAAATTAATCCTGGCAGCGACGAAAACAGTTCTTACGCTCGATATCACCCAGGCAGGTACCGGCGGTAGCAGGCCGGTTAATTGGGAGCCGCGCGTCGTTACGAACGTGTCAATTATTTATTATCGCATTGTTACAACGGGATCGCATACCATCGCCGGGTATCTGTGTTAGCCGTGAATTAAATTGTACGCCTATTACGTTGCCGTGATTGTTAAGAATGCTAATCGTCTGCACGATACGGAATTACGGCGGTCTACGTGCGAAACGCGGCGTTGGAACAATCCGATTTCACGCGATCTTCTGTAATCACGTTTTTATCGTCGGTCCTATCCCCCGCGGGCGACCGATCGACACGAAAAAATTCTGTTACTCCTACGTGTCTTTTACTTAATCGCTGTTATTCCGTCCGTTCTCGATCATCGATATATCCGGCAATTAAGTTAATGGGCTTGGCGTATCGCGTTCCTCTCAGTAAATTATTACTTCTGCGTCCTATCCATGTTCCACGTCTGAATTAAGAAAATACGATCGATACGTCTTGAAACAGATTTACGATCGTCGAATTGATAATTGCTCGCGGAGGAAAATCAGACGAGCACGGAACGGAATTCCGGGTGTGAAAGAAACGTTAATACGCGACGTTCTATCGTGACTTCGACCAATAAATGAAACGCGCGCGCGCGCGCGTTCAACGTTTTCACGGTTCACAGAAACGACACGCTCGAGTCGTGTACGTAAATCGTACGTACTAGTGGTAAATATGTAGTTCGGAACGTGCACCGGTCGTGTGCAGGAAAAATTTCCTTCCTGAAAATTGATAGGAGTCTACGTAATGAACCGCTTCGATGCGGTGAACGCTGAATCGAAAACGGTGCCCGTTCGTCCCTAATGACTAGACCGCAGATTTTCATGTTAAACGAAACTCATGGGTGGCGATTGAAAAAATATGATTTAGTAAGTCCGGTCTGTCGACGATCAACAGAGATTAGATAGGGAATATATAACGCGAAGTCGTCGGAACGCCGCGATTTATTTCTCATGTCTGAACTCGATGGATAATTATTATATATTACCCGTTTCTAATCAAGCGACGGTCTATCGAACGTTTTCTTGCTAAATAGCGAACGTTACGAGCCAGCAATTGATAAACAGTTTTAATCGCACGTGGAAACGAGACAGGAAATCGTGCGAGCGAACGAGGAGAGAGAAATGATTGTGAACGCGAGGTTTGGGAACGAGAACAGGAACGAGAATTCCTTTGTCGTGCGACGACGATACGAGATCTGGTGTAAATGGCTCGCTGGCCGAAGAGCCGATTACACGATATTTTGCTTGGCTCTCGAAAAAGAGTCTCAGAAAGAATCCGTTAAGCCTGAACCTTCTTTTCGTTGAAGCGTGCTACTCGCGGCACGTGCACCCAGCCTTGTCCTGTTATGCGCAAAGTTATCTTAAGCGAGCAATACTTCTCTGGCGCATAAAAAGGAATAGCTGCCACGGCGTAAGAAAATATTCAAACGAAACGATTCAATTCGGAATGCTGATCAAAACTCTGTCCGTAATGCGTTTTAACTGTACAAGTCATTTACTGGCTCCCGGTCTTCTTAACAAGCGGCCGAGAGGTTCCCTATGTAAATACTCGAGTGCGTCCGCGGCTATTCAGTTTGAATATTCGGATTAAAAGCGTCGGTCGTGGTTGTCTTTTTTCGGAGATTGTCACGAATCGCGTTGCTCGCTTTACCATTCGGAAACGAGGGCAAGTGTTCATGACCGTGACGTGCGAGCGGATCGACCGATGTTAATATCGGTAGTGGAACGTGACGGTACCAAAACGAGCAGAAAAGAATAAAGGAGGGAACAGCAAGAAAAGGGGTAAAGGAGGAATCAAACGACTCTGCTATACGGTTTCCTCGGAACTGCTCGATTTGTTCGATTCGCATGACTTATGTGGTCCCGCGTAAACCAACGAAACCCGAACGTAACGAGTGGATCTTGGCGCGAAATGAAGCTTCAATTTTCTCGGTAATGACTAGATCGAGTCGGTAAAAGTTAGACGAGCGTCGAAACTTTACGCTGGCGGAGAAGATCGCCAAGTCATTCCTCGAAACGGAATAATTTTTCGACCCGAGCTCGGACATAGAAATAGGATACTGAAACGGTTCTTCTGCACCGTCGTAGTGAAATCAATTACGGGGGAACGGTGAAAAGATTTTTCGAGCACGTTGAATGAAAAGTGGCAGGGGTATTAAAGCGTGGTAACGAAATCATCGTCGTGTCGCTCGTAATGGAACGGTGAGGTTCGTGGTTCGCTAGAATCATCAGGAATCACGATCCCTCTTGTACACCTCTGTCTTTGACCGATTCCGCTCTGTCATTTCTCTCCTCGTTCCCGTTTCTTTCGTTCCCTCGCTGCTCGTTCCGCATTACAGATTCGCCGCTTCTTACCCCGCGTTCACTACTTTTTTTTTTAATTATCGTTAAGCTCTCCGTTCGTTGCGATCATTACTCTTTGCCGACGATGGAAATTTTCATAGCTGGAAAAACGCTACGAAATTGTTCATCTTCCGGGTTTAGAGGGTACAAAAAGAGAGTGCAGGCTTCGTCCGTTGCCCGCGAATGCAACGACGTACTTATAAAGTGCAAACGCGTGTTCCGCGAGTAATGGGAAGTTGGCTTCTCGGCGAGTAACGTCGGTCCTCGATCCCATTGGAAGAGGAGCAACCGTGAGATGTTTAAAATTTCCGTGATGAATTTTGCAGACGGGCGTACGGTTACCCGAGGGGGCGAGCGCTGCTCTGGCCAAGCCGACCAAGTATCATTACTACCCGCATAATCAGCATATCTACTTGTTGCCGGAGTGCGCGGTCCAGCAGGTCTGCAACGCCGTTTACGTCAGGCTGAACTTCACCCAGCCTCTGTGTGCCTGTCCAGGAAGATACCGCGACCCTTGCAGCGCCTCTCTCGACAGCGACGATCTCCACACTACGGAGCTGGTCACCGACCCTCGAACCAAGGTTAGTCGCCTTGCGCCTCTTCTATCCGCTTTACTAGACCTTTCTTCATTCCCGTGGCTAGCCCGTGTATCTTTCCCCGGGACGATGCTTCTCCTCTTCGTTACGCTTATCGAGTCGGCGCGGAACGAAACGGAACGAGAAGGAATCAGAGTCGAATCGTAGCAGCCCGGACGCTGCTCCGATTCCGTTCGAGTACTTCGATCCGCATTGCATCGCGCGTACAATAAATATTCCAATAAAACCGAAACACTACCGATAATCTGATTCTGACTCGACGTCGAAAAGAAATTACGTTCTTCCAACGAAACCGCTTGAGAAACGTTCGCATGTTTTCTAAAGAGAATCCGATGCGAACTGTGTCCACGATTAAAAGCTGATTTACGACGAGTTGTTCGAACGCTTAGAAAGCTAACTGCACCGACAACCTATATACATTTAAGTACGTATATATTCGTACGCGGGTATGTAGGATTCTGGAACGATAAAATCGCGTAGGTGTTGGCGAAAGCAAGTTTTCTCTCCCATTCTTCTGTTTCGCTTCCTTTCATCGTCGATCGTAATAAAAATACGCGACACAGTTAATTGATCCGTCAGTTACGCGTGCGCCGAGCGCGAAAACAATTTACGATCCCGACGCTAATTTAGATTGCAGATCCGAGCGATTCTTTCGCTCTTTCAACACTAATTATTATCGTTCGTCTGATCGTTATGAAACAATCTACGATCGAGGACGGCTCTGATCGTGTTTCAACGGAGCGTTCTTTTAATTGCGTCGAGAGCGGAGAAAAATCGGCGCGTCGACGACGATAGATTCGCAATTACGCCGCGAACAACGAAAGTCAAACGGGCGAGAGAGAAAAAGCGAGAACGGAACGACGACGGGAGCTCGCCAGACCGGGGAACATGGTGAGAACGCGAGAAACGCTCATTCACTTTCAGCCAGTGTAACGAGTTTTCGAAACCTCGACGTCCGATGTAACGACGGGAGATCAAAAGTTCACCGCGTGCGGTCTAAGCTACTTTCCTCCTGCAAACCGTCCGCTCCTCGGCGTATCCTTCCCGCTTTTCCCGACGTTCGATTCGAAAGTGATTCAAACGACGAACCCCGTTTTCCCTCGATTCAGGCATTGACGTTGGTGAAAACCTGCGAACCGGTGGCGGAGATGCGCGAGTGCAGAACGCCGAGGGACTGGTCTCTCCTCGCGCTGCAGAACGTGCGGACAGGAAAATCTCACTATCTCGTGATATGTCGCTGCCCCGACGCCAACATATTGGGTGAGTGAATAATTCCGAAGATGGGCATAATTTCTCCACCGTTTAGTGTTTCGCGAAACGATATTTATGACCGACTACCGTCCGAACCCGGTCCTGTCGAGAGCAACGAACGATCGGTGAACCGCGCGCGATCGTTGATGAAAGATGAAAGTACGAATATTTCAATTGTAACGAGAACGCGTCGTGACGCGATAAACTGCAGTTTGAAACTATACAAGCTCATCCCATATCCCGCAGAGGGTCCTATGAGCCACGATCAGCCGACGTACGCCAGCGTGCCTGGGATCCGCGTGTACGGGATGATGTGCGTGCAAGGGAACAGAAGAGGACGGCCGCTGCGATACACGCGCAGTCTTTCAGGTACTTTCCAATTCTATCGATCGATCACGACGATGACACTGACGATCGATCGGTCAATGATTTGTCCTCAGATTACGCCGAGCTGGGAACCGGTGACGATTCCAAGGTAACACCGAACGACCGATCGAGATTCCCGTGGTACAAAGTGAAACAGCTGATGGACACAGCCGTTTGGGACTAGGTCGACTTACAGCCGAACTCTGAACGACGCGATAAAACGTGAAGAGAATCTAGATCGTACCACGACACGGAATTTCGTTCATCGACATTCGACATTCCTCATTTATTTATTCGCTTCGCTTTCCCTAGTTTCTTTCCATTTATCACCCATCTGTTGCTTACTTTATTTATGTTGTGTTATCAATAATGCACCCGAGAGAACAGCAGTCCGAGCGAAAGTATGGCGAGGTGCCATGTAGACGATCGAACCTTGCCTCCTCGATTCGGGCTTCGCGATCGTGTGAATCGTCTGATCGATTCCGATTACGGGGCTCGAGTACTTAATTATCACGTTTCTATCGATTAGAAATTGATCGTGACGCGAAGCAATCGACGAAACTACGCACCGGTCGACGCTACCGTGTTATTCTCGCCTGACGAACAAATCGGGACAACGACTGAACATATTTTCTTGGCACCGACTCTGTTTCAAACGCTATCGGGACAAAGAGACCTTCTGTCCTCGACTCGTTCGATGACTTGGACTTTTCACAACGTCGTTATAAATACGCGTGACCATCTCGTATTCGGATTGTGAACTGCGCAATTTTCGATCGCCGGTCGGAGTGTATGAATCTAAACCGTTACGTTTTCTTAAGTAATCGTTTCCTCGACAGCAGGGATGGAAACGTTAAATTACATCGAATAAGTCGAACTGGTGACAGATGACGTCTTACCTTCTACGTCTGTTTAGTAAATTCGCTAAAGTAGATTAATCGCACTCTATGTACGATACATATCAAGTAGATACGTAAGTGGATCATTAAATGTGCCGAATTTCCGAGATTAAATATTCGAGTAACACAAGTACCTGCGTCTCTCCTTTCTTAAAAACAATTTCAGAGATTAAACTTTTGTAATCGACAGTTCCGAATGATATCCACCCGATTTGTACACAGTATCGTAGAAATCGTATCGACTCCAATAGGATTGACCACAAACGTGACCGCTGAGAAACCGGTCGTTAATACTCGTGTGGCTGAGGTATTACTTCGCCTTTGCAATAATTGGAACATGATCGAGCGATACGTGAACGAGGAAACTTTCAGAACCTCGCAATCGTGATTAAACCGCGGATCTTTAAGCAAAATATGTCAACAGTCCAGGAGACGTGTTTCACGCTCGACTGATCATTTAAATATCGAAGAATCTATTCAGCTCAGTTCATGTATTACACGCGGCTTATAATAAATCCACGGTTCGATCGCAACGATACGAAATCGAGAGACAGAACCATTCTGTCGTCTTAGACGGATATGCATCGACGCATGATATATATTTACATTGCTACACTCACCTAACACGTCGGAATTAACGAGGACACTGCAGCTGTACATCGGTGTGACCAGCCGTGGATGTCTGGAATTAAATGCACGCCGGCATGCTTCTTTGCAGGCTGTTATCAAGTGGCCACCACCCACGTACCCCTGGCTCTGCCCGGTATTTTCACTGACGACAAACGTGAAACGTCTCATTCGAGTTTACGGTCTTCCGGGAATGGAGAGAAATGTTAACAGGATCCTTCGAGGAAAGTTCAATAGAAGTAAGAGGAATACGAAACGAATGACGCGACACGAGGTTAACAGATATTTCATTGGGAGAGCAACGTTAAAAGACAAAATCTTGACGTACCGTACGACAAGGGACGTGTTTTATCAACGAAGATGTGATAACGTACCTTTGAGCATCCTGATAAATTTCCCATTTCTTCACGACGAAACAGACACCTGTCATCGGTTCTTCGCACAAAGGCCCGGCGAGCGTCGCCAATTGAAAACCGTTCACCATAGCACTCTCGTACCTAACAAATTCGCTTTCAATCGTTGCCGTACAAAAAGGAGAACGAAGTCTGATCTGTACTCACGGCGTGCGCGGATCCGTGGACTTTGTGTAAGCTTCCCAAAATTTCCTTTGTTTGAAATCGGTCTCGTTCAATAGAACGTTAGAGCCACAGTTTCGCGGGCCGAACGACCAAATTTTATCCAACACGTCGTCCTGGCCAGATTCGCGAAACGCGTGCGACAATTCACGTTTAAACACTTCCAACGCCTTCTCCTTCTTCTCGGACATCGATCCCGTCGATTCTTCATCATCAGCGTTGTCCACGTCCTTCTCAGATTTGCCATAATGTTGATAGAACGCTTTTATCAAATCTCCGTTTGCCTCCAAAATCTTCGTCACCTCCTCCGGCAGAGGTCTCGCATCGATCTCGAAGTAGCATTGTCGATTGGCGGTCCACGCGCCGAAGTTGACATCATCGATCTTTTTCTCGATCGCCTCGTTGACCATATCGACTTTCGGAGGGGGTACAACGGTTTCTCGAAACGGCACGATCGGTTCCGACACGTTTATGTCCACTCTCGCGTACCGTAACTTCAAATCTTCCAAGCATCGTTCCAAGTGCACCTCGCCGGCAGTGTTTAAGACGATTTCGCCAGTCTCTTGAATGTGAACGACCGCACACGCGTCCGCTTGATTGAGTAGTTTCAAACCGTTGATCAATGATTGCAAATCGTTCGGGTGTTTCGGTTCGAGTGCCACTCGCAGGATCGGTACGCATGGCGACGTGAGCTCCGAGAAGGACGGACAAGCGACGGTGGACGAGAGAGTGGCAGTCTTCAATACGTGTTCCTCCAAATCCCCGATTCCGAACACGTTGCCAGCGGTGACACTGTCGGTCGGCTCCAGCTCCCTTCCCATCAAAAGGTAAAGCTTTCGTATACTAACTTTGGTAACGTGTCTTCCCGGCTTCAAATCCTTCAACGTAGCGTCCTCGTCTACCGGCGGCTCGCCCGCTTCCATCCTTTTTAACACCTCGCGAGGATCGTGTTTCGGTCCCAGAACGTACACCGTGCTACCTTTACTCATAGTGCCCGAATAGATTCGAGCAAACGCTATTAACGCGGTCTCGGATTGATCCTCTTCGTCGTTCACTCCTTTGGAAACGGTGTCCTCCTCCGCTGTTTGATTCTCGCCGTGCGCGTTCTGTTCGATTGTTTCCGTCGACCATTGCTCCTTAGTCAACTTCTCCGCGTGCTTTAGTCGCGCTATTTCTCGTCGTTCAGCCAATTCTTCCGGCGTCAAAGGTTTCGGTTTGTTCTCCGGCAGGCTTTTCTTTTCTACGGGGAACATTTTCGAAATGAACGCGACGACAGGCTGATCAGGAGAAGGGTCGCAAGACAGAAACACGTCCTTTAACTTTTGCGTCTCCTCCGGTAACGTACAGAATTCAGAATTGCCGGAGAGTAAACGTTCCACCTTTTCCGGGGTTAAACAATGCGGGGCGGGAACTTTGTCGCATATAGCATCCAGACAGCTTCGAGCCAAAGGTAGCCACTGGGAGCAAACTGCTTGCAGTTTAACCTTGCAATCCGTGTGCCTCAAGTCCCTGGTCGTCAGTTTGATGTCCAATTTCTCGGCCATCGAGGCGATCTTCTCGTTGTCCTTCCGAACAGTTATCGTATCGTACAGAGTCCAGATGTTGTCCAATATCAGTTGAACGAACAGAGGTTTTTTCGCCTTCTCTTGAGCTCCTTTGACTATCCTTTTGGTCTTGGTGTTCACGTAATAATCTCCCCAAAGCGTTTTCGACAATACCTTCTCGCTGAAACCCAACTTGTTCGAGAATATCCGAGCGAACGTTTGGACGCCGAATCCCCAGCCATCCGTGGCGCTCGAGAACAACACGTTACCTTGTTCTGGAGAGAAGTACAAGTTGGAATCGTCCAGTTCTTCCAGCACTGATTGCCAGTCCGCCAGATCCCTTTCCGAAGTAGCGTTCTCAGCGTTCTCCCGTTTCAATTCCTCCTTCTCTTCGCGCTGCATCACATCGCTGGCAAACAGTTCGCCCATCACAGCGTTGACTTGCTCCAGGACTTGTGTCAAATGTACATAGGCGTCCAACGGCGTTAGCTTCATTTCCGTGATCAATCTGTCCATCTTGTTCAGTACTAGAATCGGCTTCAGACCCTCCGTGTACGAGATCGACAAAGCGCTACGCGTTTGCGGGCATACACCCTCTACCACGTCTACTACAATGATAGCACCGTCGCAAAGCCTGACAGCGGTGGAGACTTCGGAGGCAAAGTCCACGTGTCCCGGGGAATCGATTAAATTGACGACGAATTCGTGATCGCCGTGTTGGTGGTAAAGGGTGATCGAGCTGGACTTCATAGTGATTCCTCGGAGCTGCTCGTCTGGACGGCTGTCCAGATATCGCAGCTTACCGGCGAGCTTGTACGAAATGATTCCATTGCTAGCTACCAAAGAATCTGCCAGTGTGGTCTTCCCATGGTCAACGTGGGCTAATATACAAATGTTTCGAATGTTAGCCGCCTTCCTTTGAACTTCACTCAATCTCTCCGAGCTGATTAGACGCATACTGTGACCGATTTATAAACGCTGTACAATACGAATTTCCTATATGCATCGATGAACACATTAAATTAGGAATGTGATATCGAACGGAGATCGGGAGGGATCGTACGTGGGACGAATGACAATGTCGAATTTACAAAACGAAAACTAGGGAATGGGGCCGCAATGAACGCGTCGAGAAACAAGGTCCAACCAGAGAGGAACTCTCTGGTCCAACGTATAACGATGCACACGGATGAATCTACTGATTTGTAAAAATGATAGCAATCACTATTTCACTCTGTTCTGTTTCCAAAGTACGTAACGTTCGACAAACACGAGGATATATCGTATCTTTGTTGACATCGTCGTCGTCTTGCACAGCATGCCACCCGCTTCTTTCGTCTGGTCAGCACCAAGAACTGATCACGGTTTCTGGTCAGAGATCGACCACTGTCGTTCCTTCGTCTTTTGATCCCGCTAAACGTATATAGAAAGAAGAGCGACTCTACCTGACCTCACAGGTTAGAATCGTGAACGATGTACTGCCTCGAATCTTGAATAACAATATCTCAGAGCTAGTTCTTCTCGTTGACAAACGTAGCCGTCATAATTTCAAAAATGCAAATGCTCTTTCATCGACACATCGCTTCAAGAAAACTTTTTTACTTGAAGAAAATTTTACGTACTGAAAATGTCGACGAGGTTCACGCGCAAATACCCATCGTAATGTTAGGTTAAGTAAATTCTAGATTGTCTAGTATTTTATTTCTATTAGAGAATTATACACTCTCGAGGAAAATGACAGTCGATCGCACGATTAGACGATTGTTACGATTTCTTTGTTCAGAGCGTTAAATTCGAGTGTAAAAAGATTTTTGCAGTAGGAACATGTGTTACTTGACATTGCAACAAGCGCGCATGTGTCAAATTTCAAGTGGCCGTCATAATGCTAAGTCAGGTAGCTGTTTTCTCTACTTGAGAATCGTATATTCTCGAGTCAAGTACAATTTGAGATGATCCCGTCCTTAAACGATTAATTCTCGATCCAGAACGTTAAATTCGGGTGCATAAAGATTTCTGCTGTAAGAACCGTAAGAACGAGTCGCTTGAAGTTGTCGCGAATGCGCGTGTGTCCAACGTCACGCGATTCGAAAGTACAAGTCGTACGTACAAGTCGTCAGAGGATACTGCAATTGGAATTGAAATATATCGCCTCTCATAAATACGCGTGAAATCTACATTTTAAGGTATGTAAAGTACTCGTATTTTACTGATAGAAAGGGGGGAAATAATAAGTACGACACACATCGAATACCCTCCACAGTGTATTTATTTGGTGACCTAGATTGCAATGAAAATATTAGATATAACATCGATGTACGAGATACTTTTTAATACATTACTTAAATATCTATATAAGATACACATATTGTATAAGTAGATGACATAATATTACGTTTTCATAATATTCGACTCATTCACTAACAAACAACATTTAATATGTATTTATATCTTGTTTTTCGCTTTTTTTTTGGTTATTTTTTTCTTTTATACACGTAGAATATCATAACGACATTGACAATATGTTATAATATATATATAATATAATATAAAGAATATCATAACGACATTGATAATATATTATAACATATATATAATATATATATATATATAGATCTGCTTTTTATCATAGTATTACAGAATATAATAACGCGTGCGTAATTCGAATGTCGCGATACCTGTTTACGATCCGAGTGAAGCATCACTCTGTTCATTCTCAAATAACCTCGCCTGGTTGCTTTATCTCTTTTTTTTTCCTGTCGATGTTTGTTTTTGCATGGTCGAATCAGCGGTCGGCATCTGCATTCGCGGTTTAAAAAGTCATCGTTGAAATTCGTACTCGGTCAGTTAAAATCAATCGGACGCCAATCATCGCGACGAGTTAAAAAATCGTATCTGATTCCGTTGTGATGGCCTGTTGGTTGCGCGTGTAACGTAAAATGGTACAGATGCTTCGTGTTTCGAGATTGTTTCGAGGAGGTATATACAGATCCCGGAGTGTTTCCCATTCGCTGTCCGTCATCCACTGTCGATGGTAATGTTTTCACGGCCGGCAACAACGATCGACGTTTACGATCTTCGACGAACGGTCGAATATTCTATTACCCTTATCGAGATGGTCTAATTACTATTTTAATACGCGTGATTCGCAACGAAGAGAGCGGCGTTACCCGCAGCTCCCGTTACACCACCAGCGTATTTCCCCAGTGCCGATTCGCTGTTGGCCTGTAAATAGAGGAGCATGTTTGAAACTCCGCGTAGATCCGAATCGATCGATTCGACAAGCACTTAAATACGTTCATCTTCGTGTTAGCAATACACATGCAACGTGTTAAATACGTAACTGATCTACGGTACTTACTACGAAAACGTATCTCATAGAAAGAAAAGAAAGAACAGTTTAATAGGCGTGCGATTTCACGTAGAGAGAAGTGTTAGCAGCTTTGCTGATAATGCTGCCAGCAACGTATTTGCCTTGGCTAGCTGCACTGTTCGCCTAAACAAGCACACGTAGTGTACACACATGCAAAAACAAATAGTAAAAGAAAAAGACAGTGGTAAGTAAATCTGAAAGAGTACTAAACCTAAGGAAACAGTTGAAGGTAAAACATAGAAAAGAGAGACTTTCAAATACGTACAAAAGAAACAACTGATGATGGTTGAATAGAGAAAGAGATAGGAAGTAGACTTGGCGAAAGAATAGAGAAGCAGATTAGTCGAAACAAATGGAAGAAACTCTACTAACTCTGAAGCACATCGAGGGACGAAAAATTACAAGACAAGAGAGAGATCGAAGCGAGCGTTACCTTGGCCCTCTTGATGAGTTCGTCCTGGCCAGCGGCGACCTGTTCCTTCTTGCCGCCCCATGCGCGGAGGACAGAGGCCTGGAGAGCACGTCCGTAGCTGAACGTCAGCGCCCAAGGTTTGTTCGCTGGGAACTTGTTGATCGCGTCCAAATTCACGGAAGCCTCCTCCTCGGACTGTCCACCGCTGAGGAAAGTGATTCCAGGTACGGCGGGCGGCACGGTGCGCAGCAGGGCGGTCACCGTCGCAGCTGCGATCTCCTGGGGAGTCGCCTTCTTCGGACAGCTCTGTCCGGGTGTCACCATGTTCGGCTTCAAGAGGGTTCCCTCGAGATACACGTGATGATCGGCGAGAGCCTGAGGAACGAACGTCGCGCGTCAGGATCGCAAGTTCCAGGTGAAGCGTTAAATTGCCAGGAAGACTGTTACCTTGTACACGGCGGCGAGAACCTCCTCCGTGACCTGCTGGCATCGGGCGAGATCGTGGTCACCGTCGGGCAAGATTTCCGGCTCGACGATCGGCACGATCCTGGCGCTCTGGCAGATGGAAGCATAACGAGCCAACACGTTGGCGTTCTCCAGAATGGCCAGCTTGCTAGGACAGTCCTTCTTGATCTTCAACACGCACCTCCATTTGGCGAACTGGCATCCGTCCTTCTTGTACTGGATGCAACGAGCCTGGAGATCGTCGAGACCCTGGGTGGTGCACTCGTCGTCGGTGCCGAACAGTGGAACGACTCCCTTGTCCACCTTGATGCCTGGCAGAATGCCACGCTGCTTCAGCAACTCTACGAACGGTGTCCCGTCCTCGGCTTTCTGGTACAGAGTCTCGTGGAACAGGATCACGCCGGAGATATGCTGGCTGATAACATCCTTGAGAGAAAGAACGATCGTTAGAAGACTGACGATGTCTGACGCCGTTACCATCAGAGAAGAATCTTTTCAATTCATTCTGAGACGGAATAGTAATTTTAAAAAGTACCTTAGCAGTGGTGAAAAGAAGCTGCCTGTACGCTTTACGATTTTCCTCGGTGTTCTCGACGTTGATGTCCTTCAGACGTTTGCCAATCGTCGTGGTCGATTCATCGGCGGCTAGGATTCCCTTTCCGGGTGCCACGATCTGCTGGGCGATCGTCTTCAATTCCAGTTTCAACTCAGGGTCGGCCTTGTCGTACTTCTCCGCAACCATTTTCTACGAGACACGTTCAAAATGAGAAACGAACCGCAAGAAGAAGTATGGTCGTTCGGAAAGTGCCATTAAAACGTAGCTTTTCTCAGTGTGAGAGGTCGACAGATAAGAAGTTTCGATTAATGAGCCGGGACAATGAAGCGCCTTGCTTCGCCCCGGTCGGAACATAATTAATAGCTCGGTGAATTATCGCGAGGTAATTAATAACGAGGCTGTCAGATGTGTCTAGTCATCGTCGATCGAAATCCTGCGATTCCTGGGAGAGGAATTCCCATTCGTTTCTTCGGTCATTAGACGTTCGTACCGTCTTTTACTACGGAATAGAAGTTTCCATTTCGCACGAGGTGCTGTGTCTCAATTTTGCACGTTAGCAAAGCATCGAAGAATGTCAGGGAATATCGAGAAACATTGCGCAACGTACTTCGCCCGTGATCCTTCCGGACGGAGGCTCGTTATTTATAGAACCCGGGTGGGCGTACAATAGAGATTCGAGTGCAAAAACCGGGCTTTTTTTCCCTTTTAAAACGAGCCAGCCCTTCGAGGGCCGACTCGGGATGCATCGCGGACAGACGAAATATCAAATGTCCAGTAAGGCTTCCGCTGCGGCGTAATTGAATTTCACAGAGCCCCATCAACGTCGATATTTCATAAAAAGAAAATGTTGGTCTGACCCATTTCCGCGCGTTCGTTCCACCGCTTTGACATCGAGGTAACAGGTCGCTATATTCGTAACTAATACGGTGCGAGGGTCGCCGATGTACCTTGCTTCGATCACAGTTATATTAAGTTCGCGCCACGGATAAATTCGTTGAACCTGAACGAGGTTTAATCCTTTCGACTCGACGTAAATTCCGTGACGAGGAAACGGCGATTTCTATTCCAATCCGTACTGATTCAGAGAACACGCTATTACGAACACGTAGCCGTGATCATGAATATGTATCACCGATCGCTCTCGTTTCGATTGCACGAAATTTCCAGCTCGCGATAAGTACATTTAACTGTGCAAACACTTTTCATGTACGAGGTAAAAGAGGCCCTTTGAAAAGGTTGACTCGCGATATATCGTAGTCATTACGTCCTTTACGTCATTTCTTTCTTAATTAGAGACTTCTGAAATCACAGGTGCGCGATGCGAATCGTGTGAAGTGGTTTCAATTATTTGTAAAGGTGAGGACGTTTCACGGTTCGCGAGTTCCACGTAAAAATAGACAGCTCCGAGCGGCGATTCCATGCCGATGAATCGTGTTAAAAATACCTGACCCGATCGCGTCCGCGGATTTCCTCAAAGGACTTTTTTCGATTTACCGAAGGATCAGCGTCTCGCGAATTCATTCGTTCTACTCGCGAGACACTTTATAGACGACCATTTGTCTCGTACAGCGGTCGGGACATTAATCTTCATCCGGGGGAATAAATTCGTGGAGACACGACGGAGGAAAGTTGCGCGAAACGTTGTAAGGAACGAACGGACGTAGGTGCGGCTCGATAAACCGAGTTCGCCGGCGTTAAAGCCCGTTGATAAGTTCGCGACTCTACCAGGATAACCGAGACCCGATATAAAAGGCTCAACGACGACGCACAGTCCTATCGATGTTCGAATCGTGAACAACGATTACATCGGACGATGCGACGAAAAAAACGTGACCGACTTTCTTTTAATTCGGTCGACCCGCTCGGACGATTTTAATTGTGAAAACTGCGGATAACTGACTCATCGCGCCCTATTGTGTCGCACCGTCGTGTCGATATAAACGATGTCAGATACAAAAGATCGTTTTATAGGTCAAAAGGCCAGATCGTATTTCTCTTGCCGTACTTTTCGGGAAGAATCTGTATCGGGAGATCCGAGGAGCAGCTTCGTCTCGTTAATGGCGCGAGATGAAATGGACTGCGGCAGCCCTTTGAGGCGAACGCGTAAAGATAGAAACTCGGAGTCGGTTTCATTTGGCACAAATGTGCTTTCGTGTCTTGTTTCGTTCCGATCTCTGTCGCAGACGTTCTGTCTCGCACTTGACACGACGCAGAATTACGAGATCGATGAAACGGTAACAATGAAAGTCTCCATTCAACAGCTGCCGTAAACAAACGAGCGCGACCCGCACGGTAGCCTGGAAATCGGCGAGAGATGAGGGCTCGTAAAGAGCGATTCGGTTTCCGTTTGGTCAATTAATTTATTAAAAAACCTCGCCGCGAAGTTTAGAGGGGAAAAAAGAGTAGAGAGAAACGAAAGAGGGACGCGTATCCCGCGGGTAGGGAAATTAAAATCGATAAAACGGTACACAACCGAGCTCCCTGCCGCTGCTGGCCACCTTTGCCTTTCTTCGGCGTCTCCGTTTCGACGCCCGACCCTTAGCCGTGGAAGCGCCGAGGTCGTACCGCCGTTCTCGAGATACGACGACGCCAATAATGGGTGGTCCTCACGCGCTACATCGTCGCCGGTAGCCGTGATAACGACAACGACGAACTCGTTGAATCGACGGACGCCACGAAACACACGGCGTGACTTGGTCGTCTCGCGACACGGAATTTCACGTTTGCTTCCCGAAACGCGTATCGAGCGCGGAACTACTGTAGTCGTTACTGGTGACGAAAACGGATCGGATCTGAACCGATAATTAGGATTCGCGCGATAATCGCTTCATGCGAGGGATGCGTAATCGCGTCATCCCTGAAGCGAGCTCGATCGTTGCCCGTCAAACGGCAAGAGGCTACCATTAAAAGAAGACTGACTCGCAATTTTACGTAACGAAGGAACGAGGAGGATACCTACGGTTTTCGTTCTTACCTTTTGAAACGCCGGTCCGGTGCGCGATCATAAACAAATCTTCGGGTCTCGCGACTCGCGCATTACGTGCACACGTACGTACAACGATAATAAATATAATCACGAGGTAATAATAAGATTGATAATAATCATAACGACGACAATACGTTCCCTTCGGTGTGTGTATTCAGTCCGCGCTAAATATCCAGTATCGATAGAATTCGAACGTTGCTCGTCAGCGTTTGGTTTTATACAATATTCGTTATACGTCAATACCAGAGCGACGATTATTACCGATACGAGAGATAGAGAGATAAAAGTGACCGAGGAGACAAAAAATGAAACGGATCGTAGCGACACAAACGTTTTCGGCTGTAAAACGATAATTCGGGGATCGCAGGCCCGCGCGGGCTGGCCCCGCCGAGGAAGGACCCCGGTTCACCGTATTCGACTACATCTTCGCCGAAGAGAGAGAGTTGGACCGGGGCGCGTGTCTCGTACGAGCACGAGACGACGACTGACTTTGTTCGGCCAGTTCACCCCGTCGGTCGCCGTGGCGGCAGGGGTACCTGGCTGCAGTGCAGTGTCGTAACTGCAAAACCAGGGGGGTAGTTGCCACACGCTCCCTCTCTCTTCTTCTTCTTCTTCTTCGTTCCGGTTTCGACCTCTTCCGTCCCTCTCGTCTCCCCTGCCGATCCGTCTCTCTCTCTCTCGCTCTTCCCGTTCTACGCGATCGTGCACCCCGCGTTCCCACGTTCTACCTCTCTCGCCCCTAACGCTTCGAATCTCCCTCCGTTCGCTACGTCTCCGTCGCGTCGCTCTGTCTTCGTTCGACCCTCGTCGAACCACGTTCACGTACGCCAGAGACTCGCTCCGTCTGGAACGCGACCCGGCCGCTGTCTCTCTCCAACGCGACCCCCGACCGGACGCTATCCTCCTCTGATCCACGATCCGCTGCTCGTACGCCGAGGGAGTGGGCTACCCGCAATGCAGCACGCGCAGACGTCCTCGAGGCTACGCCTGTATCGTACCCCTGCGCACCCTGAATTCGTGACCTGAGACATCGGCATCGGCATATACGCGAATAGGCGGGACCTCTCGCCTCGCTCACCCTTCTCGCCGGGGTGGACGTTCCTCCGATCTCGGAACGCGCGACCACGGTTCGGCGAGGTGGGAACGTCGATGTCTGACGATCATCATCTAAAGAATCTCGTAAATTGGTTCGTGGCAATGAGTATGTGCACGAAATGCTTCGAACGATTCTAACGTTCGAAGAGCCTTCTTCGACTCATACAGTATTCAGTAAGGTACAACGACTGCCAAGTGGCCAGATCCCGAACATCATGAAATTTGCATCTACTCTTTTCTGAACATTCAGATCATGTCCTCCCGCGGGTCGTAGAATCGTTTTCGAGCTGCCCGAATTTTCTGCAGTCGAGATCCGAGTCGTCGCTCACAGCGGCCAGGCTCGTCGATAGACCCGATCGAGCTTTGCCAATTAACTCTTCGAGGTGTGTCTCTCCTATCCGCGGTTACGAGGAAATTCAGCAAGCATTTGCACCGTTAGGAAAGTACAAACTTCCGAATGATGCATGGAAATGAAAGTCACGCTTCAGGAGAGACGTGGCGGGCGAAAGCGTTTTGCTCGCGTAAATGATAAAACAGCTGTTAGGCGAGCTGTTAGGAGGCTTGAAAGTTTCACAGTGTTCAAAGCATCATCTAGAGAGCCACCTAAATGATGCATTGGTACCGCGGATCGAAGATCCAATTCCTTTCTTCGATCATGTCGAAGAATTTCCATGTGCATCTCTAACGATGATCTCGGATCAAATTCCAAGTTTCTTCTAGTTCGCTACGCGCGACCAACGGCCAATATAAATTCCTCGCGTTCGATCTCCCGAAAGAGAAATGCAATAACGTTAACTGTATCTCGCGATATGAAGATCCTCGCATGTTCTCCCCGACGAGCTCGCGGCGTTAATTATTCGCGGTTCACAGATAACGTGATTCCAGTAATCGCATGTAAATGCCGCGTTATCGACGGTACCAGAGATATCGCTCTCTGAAAGAGGAAGATCGCGTGCTCGTCGGAAACGTTCGCATCGATCGTTTCACCGGTTCCAAGCGTCGTGCCAGTAGTTCTTCGCGTTTATTTGTGAAAGGAATCCTGCAATTTCAAGCTTTCCCGCGGTACCGCGAGACGTTCATGCGGTGAACGGATGCAATCCGGGCTATGTACCGAAGCTGTCGCCTGCGCAACGACTCTGACTCCGTCGGAGGGGGTGACCGGTCAATAACGCCGGCATAATTTTGCTGCGGTTAATCGGTAACAAATAAGCGAAGGCGCTTGCGCCAGGTCCGTTCGCTCTCTCTGGCTCGTTCGACGAAAGAGTCGAACGTGACACACGGTGCGCACCTGGCCCGGCGACCCTGTCTCGTGCGCAATGCAGTCCGTAAGGTGCATCCGTTGCCGCGCTACTCGACCCTCCGACGACCACCGAGCTGGTCACCAGGCCTGGGCAGTGAGCGTGGGAATGACATACGTGGACGTGAAATCAGTACGCTCATTATTGCTCGTCCGTGACGAGATCAGTCGAACGGTGACGTCAGAATACGCGTCGCGGCGGAGACGTTCGTTAGACACGTGATGACCAAGAGCATCGCGGTGTCCGATAACGATCTACAATCGCATAATTTCACGATTGACCGGTGTTATCATCGTCGCGATTAAACGTGGAATTTCACTTTTGGAATCGTATTCCTGGTGGATGGTGAATCACGAGTTTATCAAATGATCGTGACTGTATACAATTATTTTCAGAATTCGTGGAGAAAACTGTTCAGAAGTAATAATGTAGATAACACGATTCACGACACTTGTTATTAATTGCTTAAACCGGATAATGAAACACAAGTGAACGACGCAGGAGCTTGTGAAATAATCTGATAATCGTTTTAGAATTCTTCTAAGTATCGCGAGCCATGTATCATTTAATATTGTAGCGGTATATTAAAGAATTATCGCGATTAGCTAAATGTCTGTAAATAGAGTATTAAGTAGATTTATTACTACTCTCTGTCTCTCGATCGATACGTCGTACAAAAAATTGCTATCTATATGCCTCACGATGATTATGACAGTGAAAAATTGTAAAAATTCACGAAGGGATTCTCGAGAGCGATCTGTGGGGGATCAAACGATTAAAAACATCGACGATTGCGAGCCGTTAGTAACCGGAATGGCTCCGATTCTCGTTATGAGAGAGACTGGATTCGATTTGAAGCAGACGTTGGAAACTGGTCGCACGCCAAAGCTTTGTTCGCAGTTATGAGACGAAGGAATGTATGACGAAACGCCAGGTGATGAGGCTGACGCGTGTGAATCCGATCACGTACGTGTGCGTGCACAGAGAGTGGAGGGCAGATATATCACGCGGATCGTTTCCAATTTTCGGTCGCACGGGCGAACGATCCTAGAGATGGAAATGGTACACGGTCACGTAGAAGCTGTTGCTCGCGCGCCGGTGTTGCACAAGTTCTCGCCACGATTGAACCACGCGCTTGTAAACAACCGATCTAATTTCATCCACGTACCGACCAACATCATTGATCCCTCGTATCGATTATATTGAATGGAACGATAGAATTAGATCGTCGTTGCAAAATGTATTTGGAGGTCGAGGTGCAATGATGAAAAATTAGGTGCAACTCCGTCAGCCGTGACACGTGTACTCGAGGAATCACGAAGAACGTCTCTTCGAATAGACAGAATACGCGTTGCAGATGCGACGAATAAATTACGTGTGTTCGCAGAAAAATTAAATATGTTCGACGAATCTCTCGGTACTCGTTTTTTTCAGCAACGAAAATTGCAGAAAAAGATAATTTTTAGATTGTAGGGTCCAAAGTACATCGATCGAGGATATCGCGTGAATCTTTTTCAGAAAACATATTCGGAAGATTAGAATAATGTTTCCACTGTTATGACAGATATGTATGTACGTATGTGTTATCGGTTAGAGGTTGTACTGATAGTTCGATGTGAGGCAACATTCTGTCATAATTTAATGATTCGCGTGTAGTACATTTCCATATGTAAATCGCTTTGCTCGTAAAATGACTAAATCCGCGTGCCTTTAAATGTTAGACATCAGGTGATACGCGGTCTCGGTCTGATCGTTTCTAGTCATATGTCGATGAATCACGTGACGGAATTATTATTAGACGAAAGTAGTAGTTTCCGGTACTCGTTTCGAGGCACCGACTCTGGCTCCGAAACGTTTCGCTTAAAACTGTTTAGAAACGTAATCTCTACAGGAAATACTCGTACTCCGCGACATGAACTGGCGCGAGTATTAGCAATAATACAATCGTAGCTCGGAGGAGGGACTTGATTAAAAAAGATTCTCTTATTTGAACTCCTCCGCTTTGACAAGCTAGAGAACGTTGTACATCGCGCAACACACGAACTTGACCTACACGTACGTGAAAGTACACGTATTATGTACCACGCGCAGCTGTGTGCTGGTAATGAGAAAACGTCGTAGCTCCTTTAGTAATGAATGAACACAGAATGTTAGACGAAACGTTGCGACGACGTCGGTACTGGAATTATTTCGAAGCGTAGAGCCTGATCGGGCGTCGTGCAAATGGACAGTCAAGGTCGAATCTCGCAGTAGGTCAAATATCCGTTCTCGCATCGATCTTCCAGCGCGAGGAGGTACGGAAGCATCGTGAACGCGTGGCACTTTCCTCCTCGACGTTTACCGAATCGTTCATTCAAGAACACGCACAGATTCCAACTTACCTTCTATCGATGAGATGACCGTTCACTGGAAATGTGTACCTTTGCACGTTGTATCGTAGCGCTGGTTGGAAAGCGACTGCGGTGATCCTAGGGTGTTCGTCGGTTTCAAAGTCCGGATCAGAATGATATCAGCGCAGGCGCATTCTCTTTGATCTTCAGAGGTTCTCAATGTCCGTCAGGTTCGGCTGAAACGCGACGGAAACGAAGGCGCACGGGCGCGTGAATACAACACGAGGAACCATGAACGTCTCGGTCAGTCTATTTTTTTATTTCTCATACGGTTTCGTCACACGATCAAGATTCAGCGAGCGTTCGAAGTAATCGTCCGAGAGCCACGACACCGTTAGGCTCCCGCTCCTTGACGACCCGAGCTGTGAAAGCGTCGAGAACGGGGGAATTCGGTCCATAGAAACGACCAAGTATCGACCACTGGCGAAGCGATAAAACGGTTACGCGTGTCTCGTCACGTCGCCAGATCCTCCGACTGAGCATCCCTTCCTTAGAGGTCAGTCAAAGGCACCCTGACATTCACCGAATTTTACGGACGGCACATTTCACTGTAAAGGTTGACGTACTTTCATCACGGCCGCGACAGATCTCTCGCACGTTATCATTCGCTGAAATCAGCCGGTGATAAGGTCATTGATAACGTGCGTTAGACTCGTCAAACGTCATCCGACGGTTAGACTTCGTCACGATCTAACGTTTCGAGTGTTCGGGCAAATTGATTAGGAAGTAGCTGGGAATCGCGTGACGCAACCACGTTTTTAACGAGAATTGTTGTTCTTCTTCCTGGTGCATATGCCGTTCTCAGGTTCCACTTGTCCCGACGCAGCCTCCGAGCAGAGCTTCGCTCTTTCCAAAAATATTGCCTGAGCCTCCGGAACGTTCTCTTCGTTCCCTTTCCACGCTTGCATCGCCGCTAGCTTCGGATAAATCGTCGGACCTCAGTACTTATGTCGAGAGAATGATGTCGATCGATCTAAGAATCATTTAATACTTGTAAGGCGCGTCCGTAGCAGAACGTCAGAGGCCAAGGTTTGGTCCCTTCGTAAGCGCAAATAGCGTTTAAATTTACGACCGAGTCCGAGTCGGATTGTCCGCCGCTTAAAAATGCGATCACTGGCACCGCCGGTGGCACTGTCCTCTGCAACGCGGTCAACGTGTGCTCCGCGATAAGCTGCAAGCACGTAATTGCTGACGATTATACCGTAAAACGTTGTGAGCAAACGACGGTACGTGGCATTGCACGAGGATCGAACTATGTTTCGTTGTACCTGCGGTGTGCAATTCGCGCTGTTCTTTATCCCGGACAAGACCATTGCCACCTTGAGGATCATACCTTCCAGGTAGACGTGGTGCTCTTGCAGAGTACGGAATAGTATCGAAAGCACTTCCTCGTGAACTTCCAACGCTCGGTTTATCCCGTGCTCACCGTCGTTCAATATCTCCGGTTCTATGATCGGTACCATTCGTGCACTCTGACATATACTGGCATATCTTCGACAGAATTCGATAAAACATCGATTAAACCATCAGAGAGTTCAAATATCCGAGGATTATTACACAAACCGAAGAACATTATAGAAATGCATATAGTTAACGATAATAAAGTATGTTACGACTGACAGCGTCGATCAATCCATTTCATGGTTGCATGTAGAGTACGTTTGACGTAAAATGCGATTTGACTCTGCACTTTCTTTTTCTATGGGTACCGTTTACCACTGGCAATGAACGAGTCGTAATGCGTGATTTTTCTCAAGTGGTCACGTAAACTTCGATGCTTGAATCTTTTAATACCATTCGCGTTGAAACGAGATAACGCATAGAATGCGCATTAAACAATGGAAATAATAGAACGTACGAATGTCTGACGTCGATACTGTACTATAAAGGTTCTGGTAATAATCGAATCATTGATTCCGTAAATCAAGAAGATTCTCTGATAAGATAACGCGGTACTTGGAGTCACCTTGCAAGGACGTGCGCATTCGTAACCATGGCCAATTGACTCGGCGTGCTGTCGGAGATGGCGAACGTGCATCTCCATTTGGTGAAGTGGCAACCGTCTCGCTTATATTGGATGCACCTCTCCTGCAAACTGTCCAAGCCTTCCGTGGTCTTCTCGCTCTTTGCCCCGAACAGCGGGACCAGACCCTTGTCGACCTTAATACCGGGTACGACATCCCTCTGACGTAGCAGTTCGATCAACTCGACACCGTCGCACGTTTTTTGATAAACTGTCTCGTGATGCAGAATAACACCGCTTATGTATTTGGAAAATTGGGACTGCGAGAAGAAACACGAGTCGATCAGATTTTCGAGTCGTCGACAAAGTCTGCTCTAAACGTAGCGATGCATTTTGTTCGGCTGCAAACGGCATCGCACAAACATAATACAAAAAATAATACAAAAAAGCTCGTTATCGAGGTTCAATGGTTGATGGGAAACGAGACAGATCAGGAACATCGGAATTTCTTTTCTGTATTTTAATTTGAGTGCATAATGACCTTATCAGCGGAGAACAACATTTGACGATAATCGCGACGATTGTTTTCCGTGTTCTCTACTCCTATCTCGTCGAGACGCTTTTCCATAGACGAAGGGGACTCGTCGCATGCTAACAACCCTTTCCCCGGTACTACGAGGGCTTCCACGATTTTTCGTAATTCTTGGCAAAGGGCTGGTTCTAGTTCCGTGTATTTGGTAATGGGCGACGATATCTGAATGACAAGTATTCTTCGAGTACAAAAATTCGGTGGAGCTTTATAGGGTCGAGGAAAATAATTAAATGGGCTCAACTTGATGTTTCATGGAAGAAATAAAGATGAAAGATACGATGAGAATTCTATATGTTTTGAACCACTGCCTCGGATATCTGTCGTGTACTTAATGGAAATCTCCGCGAATAGAAAATACAGTCGCCGTTCGAAAGGTTTGAACAAAGGGTCGATGACCGTCCCGGCATTCGGGCGAGTTATATTTAATTTCGTACAGAAAGTAGTTATTATACGATCGTGCAATTCTGAATGACCGAATGCCAGTTTAACGAGTTAATTCACTCGAGTTAATACACTCTTTAATTGATTGAAATTCTTATCGTCAAGTATCGATGTAACGGTAACAAAGTTCAAAGATGACACTGAATATTAAACATAATCGAAATCATGTCTCTTATAATTCTCCGATAACGTTCGATTGGTAAATAAATTTTTAGTTTTATTGCATACTGATTACATTTGTATCTTGTTATTGACGTGATATATCTCAGAGAAAGAAAATACAGTATATCAGCAACAGATTTATTACGAAAATCATACCACTGTTAACCGTTGCTATCAAATAATACACTTTACGTCGTGAGATATTTTTATTAGCGATACGTTTAAAAATACTCTTTGCTCTAACAGTGAGGACGTGGTTAAACTTACTTTGTCTCTGCAATAACATTTGTCCCCCAACCGCATCATCCCTGTTCCTTGTTCGATTTATCAGGATAATACAGGAAATTTAGAAAAAATTAATCAACGTTACATATGTATGTTTTTATCTGAACGTAGTGAGCATTTTATTAAAAATTTTCTTTACAATTTTGATATTTAGGAGGAAGTAGTAAAACAACTGACAATAACTTACTATTAAATTAGCATATTCAATGTCTGTTTCATTTTCTTTTATATTCGTTAGGTGTCACTCCCGGTCAGACTCGAGAGCGTTGAGATTTTGAATCTGCCGCGGTCACGTGATCACCATCGCGCGACCACGATCACGTGACCCCTCCCCTACGCCTTCCCCCACCGGCTGGAGCGGCGGCCATTTGCTTTCTCCTTTCGCGCACGTAACGTCGTAGTCGTAGCGTCAGGTGCTTTGTTCGTATTTCATTCGACTTTAATCTTGAAAATCTCGTACCGACGTAATTGTTACCAGTTTAGGCGTTTAATTACGACGAATTCATTACTTCATGTAAGTATAAGCACTGTTCGTGCACTATTATTTGTCGACTTTCGCTTTTAATGCCGATTAACAAAGACGCATTCGCTTAACTACTTGTTGGACATTCCCGGGATATGTTGCTTGTACTTTCGAGAACTTTTCTATGTTCTTTCGAGATTCTGTCATAATCTCTCTTTATTCTTATCTATTACAGTTTTTATCGTTCTCCTCCTTTGCTGACGGGTTCCTGGCATCCTTCACTTTTGGTAGCTGGTTCCTGACACTCTACAATTTCCGGTGGCTGGTTCCTGACATCCTGGCATCCCTTAACGTCTCGTCGATGGAAGGAACGTGGATTTTTATAGCAGTGAGTCAATATGCATTCACGTTTCTGACGTAGTATGCATTCAAGTTCCTCCAGTCATTCAATCATGCCGGGACGAAAGGTCCGAAACGGCACGGGTGACTGGTTGTAATTTTTATACTTGTTTGACGAGCATGGTGACCCTTAGCATTCATAATATCATTATAAATGCTCGGGAGTAGTAACATTTCTATGTTGTATTGTGTGATATTTCATTCATATATCAGCTCAGGTAGGGGCTTCTTGTACTCGCGATTTATTTCATATTAATGAGAACGACATTGAGAACGAACGTCCTATTAAATAATACAAATATTTTTCAATGAATAACTTATTAATTGCATGGCCAGCATGATTTCATTTGACCATGTAGTGGTTTAGTGGTGAAGTTGGATATCCTCTGACTTCGTGTGAAGTGTAATTAAAAATTCTCAGATTTGATTTGGGAGTACTAAATGGTAAGACACGTTCTCAACTTTTAATGCATGGTGCATGATGTGTTATTAACTAGATTCTATTTCTCTAATTTCGTGATATTTTATACGAAATGATGTATTCATCGTAACCCTTTGTTAATTAAAGATGCAATATTCTTATGATATATCGCAGAGTTCGCGTTAGTAATGCTTCAATATCTAATTATCCGCATAATGAAATGTATTACATTTCACGTACAAGAAGATGATAGGGGGTAGATTTCGAAGTCAAAGCTTCCAGTATGAAAACTATTTTCAAGTTTCACATAGATCATTCGCTTTGACGAAGGGATCTCCCATAGAACATTTCAATTGCTATTTATTCTTCAATATATGTTTCATCTTGTGAGTGAATAAATAAATATATATATAAATGAAGAAGATCATTTTGATGCAATATCATAATCATGCATTTTTTAGATCAGGATTTTCAGGTACATATTCCGTGTTCATTCGCCAGGATCCCACTCACGTGCCCAGGTGCTACTTGAGTGGGTGATAGGTGATGAGCGCGATGAATCCTTTGTAGTTTTTAAGTATTTAGTAGTTTATAAGCGCACCGGCTGGCTAGTTCGTCCATCGTACACGACGTAATCTCCGCATACGGACTTGCGTCGGTGTTCTTTACAATTGAATGCTTGACGTCTCTTTTCATTATTATTTCTCAATACTCGAAGACATGTTTTATTTGATTTTTAAATACTTGAGTTCTGAATAGATTCCATATGTAGAAATCTATAATTTACAATTAGAATCATCTTCATTAAAATAGAGATGAAAAAATCCAATAAATTTTTTATAGTTTCATATATTCTATTCAATTCGGGAAATTAATATAATAATTCGCTGTAGCTAGTTTTGCCAGCCGATTACAGGTGAACGGTACCTACGTACTGCTGAGTGAATCTGTTTGTATGGCAACCTCGGTTGCGGAGTCGTCCCGGGGCGGCTCCTGCAGGCCCTTGCATCCGAGCATCTGAGAGCCCGTACGTACCGTCGTACCGCGTGAGTCTGTTGGTTTGTCTGTTTTGCCTTTCTTAAATATGTACAGGAGGGTCAGGCAGGCAGGTAATTGACTTCTGGTACGCCTGTTAGCATGTAAGCAGGTAGGGCCGGGACAGGTTGACACGTTCTCAATCGCGTCTTTTTCTTCTCGCCGTGTTCAACCTGTTTCTGGAAATTTGCGTTCGACCGATCGACGGTGAAACGATTGTTTTCACGTAGTCGATTGTTCGAATGCCACTCTTGCAGGACGTTCTTCGTCACTCGTCGGGGCAGAAGAGCCCGAAGAAAGAAGAGGCTTCGGCCGAAGAGGCTACGGCTGAAGAGGCCCGGTGCTATATGCGCCTTCGGAAGAGGGCAACTATCAATGATTGTGCATTCAGAAATTATGTTCATATAATTTCCCAAATGCGGAATCATCCAATTACTACTTTGTCACTATGCTCGTTTTGTTTATGTGTAATGTCGTGGGCAATCGCGGTTCTATTTAGCGTTGCAAATTATTCAGTCGAGTTGCATTAGAGTCGCGAATCAAAATCACTGTTTGTATTAGAATTAGAGTCGCGTTTTAATTGTAGCGTTGCGTACCGTGATCACGCGTTTCTTCTTTGCATTTTTTTAATATTTCAATTAAATTAGAGCTTATCTTTTTTCATTTTTCGTTCCCTTTTATAGTTTGCTTCACATGAAATTAGTTTTATTCGTCGGTTTTATAGCGAGTAGTTGCAAGTTCTTGTATGTTTATTTTTTATTCAAGTAGCTTCCTTGATTGATTTTCAATTAGTGTTGCGAAAATGACGATCGCGTTATATTTCAGTGAGTTCCAGCGTCATCGATGGACCATCTTTACAACCGTTATGCATTGAGTGCGTAAGTGTTTTAACGCTGTTAGCGTTGCGAATTATAAAAATGAAAGGTTACAAGTACAATTAGCGCCAGTTAGATCACTTTTTTTGAGGAATCATCCTCGCGTGATCGCTGTTATTTTCCCAGGTTCCGAAAGGTTCCGTTTCTTACGGGTGGGCAAATGAAATATGTATTGGCTACACAGTCAATACCAAAAGTTTATGTACTTTAGAAAAATGCATTTCCTATAATTAAAAAGAAGACGTCGGAAGAACAAAGCTAATACATCCTTAAGAATAATGAATCGACTCGTATAACAGTATCTTCGCTTGGTTCCAAAGTCTCGGAAATCGTACTTGGCTAGGCTCAACAGTCAGGTTTTCATAAATTAGTTTTTCCTTTCGCGCCTTTTTAAAACGCCGGTTCCCGCGCCGCTTCAATTTTAAAACTTCGGGAGCTTCTCTCTCTGTTAGACGAAGTTCTCCGAGCTCACGAACACGTGGCTCGTGCGTCCTTACGTCATTGAGGAACAGTGAGAAAGAAATTCCTCAAATGTTGTAAACGAAACCTGAGTTTCACCGGGTCCCCGAACGCACGGCGCTGTGATCGAATTTTGCGGCAGTGCCGCGCGCCTTTTTACCGTGCGCGGTGATGCACCTTTTTACCATGGAACGTCGCCCTAAGTGCCGACGAACTTTTGAAAATGGAAATCGATGAAGTGGGCTGTTGTAGTAAAAGCAAGTTGTCCGAGGTTAGAGTTTCGGTTAGGAGTGAGCAGGATGTATCCGAATGTTGATACCGCGGATATACTGGAGAACCGATCAGTGGCATTTGTTCGTTAACGCATTGGCTTTCAAGCGGCTCTTATCTGTCTGTTGCGAGTGATAATAATTCGTGAGGGAAGCACCGATCGCGATGGAGAAGTTTAATCGTCGATGCGACTGATCGATGAGCATCGCACGTTGATAGACGCGATAAATTAGCCTGATAAGGGCCTGGTTCGCTTGGTTTAGTTAGCAGACCGTCACTATGAGTAACAGAGAGAAGGGTGATTTACGGTTGGAACAACATGTTCGAATGAAAGATGAGAGAGAGAGGAAGCAGTCTGTGTCGTCGCAGAGTGAAGATTCGGACGCGAAGAAGAAGCGGCGAAACACGTGTAGCAAAGACAAGAGGAAGAAATCGAAGGGTAGAAGTAGCTCCAGTAGCTCGAGTTCCTCCAGTGGCTCCAGCCACGAAGCTAAACAGCAAGACGATCGAGAGAAGAAAAACGACAAGTGGAGCAAGAGGTATGAAAACGGTGTCAGACCGTACAGGTCGTCGAATCCGCGGGAGAGCAGGGGATATTACAAAGGGAGGAGCGGATACTTGGACAACCGTAAACGTAATTTCGGTTATAGGCCTTATAAGCATTCTGGATATTACGACAGGAATAGACAGAACAATTCGCAATACAACAGGTATAACAACGAGAGGAGAGGCAACAGATTTTTCAATCATAACAACAGAAGACCACCGTACGACAGATCCAGGAGCAGGAGCACGCAGGATCACGAACATCAGAGAGGCTTGAAAGAATCCAGTGAGCACTCGAAGGAAGACGATCTGAGGGAAAGACACGCGAAGCAACCCAGTACGGACAAGGTGGAATTGAAGAAAAAAGATGCCGACGAGGCTTATCCTAAGAGGAAAGAAAAGAAGAAAGACGAGGATGTTCAAGAGAAGACTGACGTGCGTAAGAAGTCGAAAAGGAAAAGATCTTTGTCCTCTTCGAGTTCCTCGAGCGCCAGTAGTACCAGCAGCGAGAGTAGTAGCAGTAGTTCTACCAGTAGCAGTAGCACCAGTAGCGGTAGCAGCAGTAGTTCGGACTCTTCCGAGGACGAGAAAAAACGTAAGAGGGCAAGGAGGAAAGCTAAGAAGCTGAAGAAAGCCATGAAAAAGCGGAGGAAGAAGAAGAGGATGAAGAAGAAATTGAAAAAGAAATTGAGGAAGTCTAAGAAGAAGGGAAAGAGCACGGAGAAGGTGAAGGAGAGCGTCTCGAAGAATTCGCAGCAAGATGTGTCGGATAAATCGAAGGCCATGGCGCCGATGACGAAGGAGGAATGGGAAAAGAAGCAGAGCGTGGTGCGCAGAGTATATGATGAAGACACTGGACGATACAGGTATAAAGATGCGTAGGGAGATGTAAGAATTGGTACACGCGTTTAATGCACGATTCATGGGACACTTTGCAGACTAATTAAAGGCGACGGAGAGGTCCTGGAGGAAATAGTGAGCAGGGATCGTCACAAAGAGATAAACAAACAAGCGACTAAGGGGGACGGGGAATATTTCCAGTCACGCTTGAAAGCCAGTGTTTTATGAACTATTTTTCTATGTATGCTAAAGAAGTATCCTTACATGGTAATTATTACTTTATCGTCAGTGTTAAACTCCTCTACGACAATATGTTTTATGATGTCTCGAGCAAAAACGGATTACTTATAGATTGTACATTGATGAAACTCGTCTGCAGCATGGTTTTAGTTACGTTACATGCACATAACGTTTTATGTGAAACGTCGATGACCAAATGTTAAAATATGATCGATAACAGAAACACACACACACAGTTTGGATTCTGAGACAGTTTCATATAGTCATATCTTTTTCACATTGTGACTATTCGCGTTTATCGTCATGCGTAAAATAAAAAGAGGAACTTTTGTATGCATAAAACGACTAAGTCGTACGACGCAATAATAGAGTCGAATGAAATATTCTGACTGTTTGTTACTTCGATGAGTCGATTACACAGTTTTCGTAAATAGGGCAATTGATTCATGGTCTAGAGAGCTCGTCGAAAATATAAATTTTAGTTTCTCGTATAAATAATTATCTTCGAACAGTTAATTCCTTTTTTTTATATGTACAAGTTGTGTTACAAGTTCGTCAAAATTACATGATTCAGTTTCTCTTTAAGAGCGCGTATTGAAATTATCTTACTGTAGGTACGGTGATATCAGGTTAATTGATAAGCGATTCGTGTAAAGGTAGCATTATAAATCATTTAAAAAAAAAAGAGGTTTATGTGTCACGTATATTAAGAGTCCGTGTTGTTCGATACGAACTCTTCCATCAACAAATGAAAAAATATAATTTTGTATATTACACAACGTATGGGAGTCAATACACTTGTATGAAGTGGGTCGTGTGTCCATCCCGGTAGATAGGATCGTCCGTGATCGTCGCTCGACACAATGGACACGAGCACTCTCGATTCAGCCACGTAACGACACACGTTTCGCAGAAGATGTGCTTACAGTGTAGTCTTACAGGCGTCGAATATTCTCCGTGGCAAATCGCGCAAATCCCACCTGACGCTATTAATTGTTCTTTCGACGGCGACACGCCTAAATTCTGGAAGACGAACGTTCTTCGTTATCGAGGCTCTCGTTAACGGCTGTCGTTCTTAGAGAACTCGATACCTACCACGTTTTGTAGTAACTTCCAAACAGCGGTTTGAAACAATCTTATACGGGACAACAAGTCGGGCCCTTTGGTCACTGTGTACAACAGAGACAAAAATATCCCGACGATCTTCTCTGGACCCTGATAACTCTCGTAAAGATAATACAGCCACGATTGTGCAGGTGCAACGCATCTGTAAAGTTGAGACGTTGCTTCCACCATGAAGAAATATTTACCCTGTAACAGAACTACCGTTCGATCTTCTTGTACAAGCGGATGATACGAAAGAGGTCCAATATAGTATTTACCCTTTTGCGTAGCGCCAGAATCTTTGAAGGCAGACACGTTACGAGTACTTTAAAAATAATCGTGATTAATTTCAAAACAAAATCAGTTATCAAAACTGACCAGAGTAGCTCCCAGATTGTGAGAGGTTGCGTATAAGGAGAAAATATGTGTGTCTCGTATTCGAAATGAATAAAAACTATGCATCCAACAATGTAACATGTAATGATTAAAAGTGACAGCCAACTTTTATTGTTCTGCTTTGCGATCTCACGTTTCACTACATTATTACTATAATTAAACGTAACGATCAACACTATAAAGTTCAATATATTGGTCCTGTGATCGTACAGCCCTTTCAAGAAGAGAATGAGAAGGAGAGGCACGTATCTCTTAACTTCTCTGCAGAGTCTCTGACTGATTTGCACTGCCTCCGCTGACGTTTCGTCCACATCGTTATTACTGTTACTATGACTGATAACGTTGTTAGTATTATCGTTAGTTTGACTGTCACCTGCCTCGTTCGCAGTTTCGCGTGTATCTCCTAAAAGATTGTACGTTGCACTTGTCTCGTGGCGATGGTGATGACTCGTGTCGTGAGTCGAGCCATCGTTCAAACTTGTACTTGGCTGCTCATCGATGTCGATGACAAAGTTACCAGGCAAAGGAGAGACGCTGTCTGTCACTGAATTTTCAATCCCTTGAACGTTTACTAACGTACCGTATGAAACGCCGGGCTGCTGAAAGTATAAAAGACGATCGACTTAGTCTTGTCAGAACAATCGGTTAGGTGCGAATTGAAATACTCACGTGTTCCACGTGAGGCCTCACTTCTTCTACAGCGGAAGATATATTAGTTGCAAATATTCTGGAATGATCCATGCTTGTAACACTGAAATTCAAGTCTTTTACGATACTGGACAGACGCAGATTAATTTTCATCGACGATACACCGCGCAATCAACGGTATTAATTACGTACAGTGGATGATGAAAGATTTTTCTCGTTGCACTTTTCATGGGAAGTATCGACCAACAAGGGTGATTATCCCCCTGTTTTACAATTGAGACGATCTACGTATGGCAAACTGCAGACGATCGTGTTCGTTACGGTTAACCAAAACATTATTCAGGCATCGCGTGATTACACATAGGAACCGACGTTCTCGTTTCTCCTTTCAATCCGACGACGAACCGATAAAAAAACGCCAATTATAGATTCTCTTTATCAACCTGTATTACAGGCGTATTAGGACAGACTGCATGATTCTTGCAAGTTTTTCGTGTACTTGGACTCGCTCAAAATTCCGATACTATATACGACATCTCAGCGTCGAGCTCGTCGTTATCATTTTTATCGACGGTTGAGGAATTTTTAAATCGTCGAACAGTCGTTCTCAAAACGTGAATGTACTTTATTTAAACGAGGAATACAAATTTACGTTTCATCGCGACGTGTAATAGACATTGGAAAATTACATAGAGCGTTGTACTTGAAAATTTTGTTAGAAAAGGAGTAGCGATCATTTTTGAGATTGCTTCATCTGCTTCAGTCGTTTACGTTTTCCTCGTATCCCTTGGAGCGAACTGTAATAAGTATACGTGCTTCTCGACGTCGGTTGTTCGATCGAACCGTTCACCGCTTTCGTCCAAATGATGGATGCAACGGCACCCAGGCATCGCGACATGCACAGCAGTACTTGATTGAACTTCATGTCTCTCAGTCCGTAGAACTTGAGCAATTAGGGTATTAATTAGTATACGCGATACGTCGACGATATTTTTATTAACTAGAAATCGAGTACTTCGAAAATTGGCCCGGCGATTGTACTCTGTTCGGGACAGACGCTTTTCCCTTTCGCGGCCTTCATCATTTTCGTCACTATCTGGCTAACGGTTTTCGACAGCTGGAGACGAAAGAGATGAGAACTTTTAATATGAGGCATAATTAAAATTGCATCGAAAGAATACAAATTTCGAAGATGAAGAGATCCACGCCGTGTACCTTTAAACCTGTGTCGTTCGGGATATGTTCCCTAGCATAATTTAGTAATGCGGTGTATCGGGGATCGCAAAACTCTCCTTCCTTGTAGCCAATCAATTTGTCTTTCTTTATCAACGTGGCCACGTAATTTCTCAACTTCTCATCCTTCGTCTCTCGGCCAAAGAGACGTTGCAGTCTCGCTTGGAATTCCATATACTGCGTAGCACGAAAATGTATTTTAATCGAGATTATATCGCGCGGAAGTCGCGTTCATTTATTCAATATCGTTAAAATTCGTTTACTTGCGACAGCGTACCACTCTCGGGCTCGTTAGAGTGTGCCAAGGCTCCCGCGGCCAAAGTTTGATTGATGCATAATTGAGATGCCCCGAGTATTTCCGTAACGTGTATGCTAGGAAGTCCCCCGTTGTCATCGCTGACGGACAATAACGTCTGTGATATTTGTAATGTCGTTCAGCTTCGAGACGGAAGGTTTACTCACGCGTTCAAAACCGTGTACAGTCGAAGAAAGTCCACTAAGGGCTGCTTCTGAATTTTCGAAATGTTGAACGCGTTGCATAAATACTCCGACAGAAATTGTACCCAATCGACACCTTCTTCTTTGACGTTCTTTACCTCGTTCTTAGCGACCAGGCCGATTATCGCCGGCAAGGTCGCTAACAGTTCCATTCCGTCTTCGTACGTATACTGAAAGTAACGTAATTCCGTGAACCAGAAATCCCACCGTGTGGAAGGTTTGATCATTCGGTCGCTTTGACTCACTTCCCAATGCGTGTGCGTCAAAGCTCCGTTTTTCAAAGCTTCCTTCGTATGTTTGCCGGACTCGAAGACGGTAAGGGCGACGGACAATTTCCCGATTGGCGGAGTCGACTTCGGTAGAGTCTGTAAAACGGAGCCAACGATTCCACCGCTCGGTCCCGACCACCAGTCCTTCCTCTTTTGACGACGCAAGGACCAGTCGGCGATCAGAGACGCCGTCTGTTCTTGCGTCGGAATGTCGCCGGTCAACAACAGCCAAAACACGGCTTCGGCGCTCGGGGACCTTCCCTCGCGAGGTAAAAGCGTGACCACTTCCGGTATCGTCAATCCTCTGTATTTGATCTGTTCGTAAGGATTCGTTTTTGAAACGAGTCGACTTGTCGTCGCCACAAATCAACTGAGTATTCACCCCGTGCTTCGGGTCGGTCTCGCACGTATCTCGGACCATGCTGTTCACGCCTCTCAGGCCGTTGTACATATTTTCCACGGTGATCCGACTGATCACCGCGGATCCGTATTGTTGACGGATATTCCTCAACAAGTCATAGTGCACGGGAATCTTTTCGTTGAGGGCCTCCTTCAAGTTCGTACTCGTACTAGGGGCACCTCTCGTCGTGCTCACCTTTAATTTCATTATTTCGCATCGTTGCGATTATAAAAATGAAACACGTTGTTTTATACAAAAATTAGGAGTCTCATTCTACTAAGGGAATTCTTGTATTCGTTATTATTCTATCAGAGGAAGTGAGAACGATAAAAATTTGGAAAAGCAAATTGGCTGCGAGTAACCTCGTACATCGGTAAATCAATCCCAACCGTCAATACGTGTCGTAGTCCCCGTAGATTGACGCCGTTGTTGCGATTCGTCGCGGTGATCAGAATCGCCCTGGTCAGGTGCGCGCATCTTAAACCTCTCGCGGTCAGGGACATCGTTCCGAAATTCCTCTTCTAGACAGGTCGCCGAGTCGCATTTATAGTGACACGGATAAACTCATCGGTCGTGAAGGAAAACTGATCTCCTTCGTTACTTATTTTTGTCTTTCATTCTGACTCTTGTGTAAATTTGGTTGGCCGTCAAACTGAATCATCGCTCCGAGGTGAAACGTCGAATCTCGAATCGAATCGAATTCGTCGCAGCGTTTAAACGACGCTTGCTCTCTTTTGTTTCGACGTCGGGTCTGAAATTTTATTGAGACCTAACGGAAAGGACAGATGAGAGCCGTGGTTCGATCATTTTTTTTTTTTTATTGCATTATTTCTGCATACAAAACAATGCACAATATTTTATATGTAAAACGACGGGTTCCTCGATGCACATTTCGTAGCTGTACAAATTCGTGCCGAAGTTTCGTTACGTCGTCTAAACTCGCTATTTCGGTACAAAGATTTATGGTTTTATTTTTTTTTCCAACGAACACATGTTTGTATGTTTCGCGTAATATGAAGGGACGCGATAGCGAGGGCGAGTACGAGCCCGTCGGGGTACCGCGTGCCCTTATTCACTCGTAAACTCGACGTTCTGAGCTTATGTTTTACGCGTGTAATCGGCCTGTTCGACGTACTTGACAGTCGTCGACACTGAGAGGTGCTCGGAAATCAACGATCTATCGCGGTGATCAACAATTGGTGAAACGATAGGTAATCTATTTCTCTCGTTCAACTATTATTGTTACGTCGTACCGAGGCAACGGTGTCAGGTTCTGCGTTAAAATATGTACGTACAAACGATAACAACGGTTAAAACACATGTTTTTTTTGTTTTTCAAAGACTTGCATACATGTAGGTGTGTGCACGGTATTTCACAACGTCGACAGCTACCTTTACCAGCTGTGATTAGAATTCCTTAACGGTATATTAAAATATATAATATGTATGTATTGTATACACACTATTGCTTGCTCTGAGGTAAACTCTCAATAACACGCTATATTATTACATTTATTTGTTCGCTATTATCATTGTCATTATTACTAATATTATTACCGTCGTTATCTTTAATATTATCGTATCATCATCATTATTATTCTTATTAGTACTATTATTATTATTATTATTATTAGGCCGAACGCATTGCTGAAAAATAAATGAAAGCAACGGTGTAACACGAGTACACGGCAGTAAATTATAAATGATATCACAGACAAAGTAACAGTAGAGCGAAATCTGTTTTCTTTGAAATAATTCGTATAACTTGGAGTCGAGAGGGTTTTGGGTGGAAATGCAAATAAATCGATTGGTACGTCGATCATCTCGCGTGTAGCGCACGTGAATCGATTGTGAAACAAACGGGCTGGGAAGTTAATCGTGCGAAGGATTCGGCAGTTGGTTTCGTACATACATATACATTATGCGTATTTTGCTACCTTCCCGACGTTGACGACGCGAAAGGGCAGTTGTACAACATGATTGCATTATTTTTCCGCGTAGAGTGTTCTATACGGTGAGCAGTTTCCACGGGGATACTGGCAGACGAAATCTGAACGTTCCCTCGATTTGGTAGAAAGTACTTTTACTCTCGTGGTTAATCTCGTGACACCGTGTGCACGGTTCTTCTCAGCGATCCAACGAACGAAAGAAACGATCTGTGAGAAAAGTAAACGAAGTCGTTTTTCATTGCTCGTTTCGATTTGTACTTCCGGTATTTGTGAGGCTGAGAAGAAATCGGATCGCAGACAAACAATTAGATGTTTAATTCGGTCGAAGAACCAGCGGGCAATTGACGATTGAGACTCGTAGAAATTTTAGTTACGCGGCAATTAAAACATCTGCGACCCTCACACTGAATCTAGAATCTCTTCCGTCGATGCGTAAAAGATCGTCGTTGAAAGAAATGAAATTTAAATACCGCGAAAGAATATTAAGTGCCGCGCTCTCGACGTTATTGATCATCCGAGGAGACAGATCGACGGATCTCCATTTCGTATCTCGGCCACAGGACCGGAGGAATAAATTACTCTGGGAGTTGCGAGCGTTCACGTTGACCATCTCGTTTTCGATCCTCCCACGAATCGGTCCTCTCGTTACCATCTCTCGTGCCATCGGCTACGATCCTGCGTTGTAGTACAGGTAGAGGCAGCTTCTTTTCGCGACGTGCCCACGAAATTCGAGCGTGTTCGTTCTCTGACTTCAATGTCAGAGAAGAATACACTTGTCCGCGGTGTCCTGCGGGTAAGATCGTAAGGGTTGCGAAGGGGCCGGCGTCGGCGAGGGTGGCCTGCCTTCCACGGCCTGGATGCTCTTCATCAGCTCCCTGAACACCTGTCGATCAGAAGAATTGGAAATTCACTCGAACGTCTCGACTCGTTCCGGAGACAGACCGCCGCGGTAACGGGATAATTCGAATACGTCCGAAGCCCTTGTTTCATAAATTCGCTCGGGAATACGTTTCTGCCCTCGTTTAAAGTGACTGCTCATCGCCAGGGAATTCCCGACGTCGTTTCACGAAATAGCTCCGATTAAGTCGAACGATTTCATTCCGTATTCACGAGAATCTTGAATTGCCAACAAGTTTTCCGGCAAAAGCAGACGTTTCCGTCGTTAGAACGGAACGCGTGTTTCTCCCGTGATCGAACTACCTCTGATCGTCTCACAGGTGCGATACGTACGGTACGTTTCGGGCTTGGCCAGGGCATGATCGCGATACAAATGATACAGAGTGTCGCTGGTACCTGTACAACACGGCAGTTAAATCTTGCGCTGCATTCGACGTAACCGCATCGCCAGTGCTTCCGAACGAGATTGACGATGTCCCTGTATCGGGTCCCGGACGCGACCGCAGGCGACAATTCGTCTTGCTTGTTCCCAACTACCAATAATGGTACGCCCCTCATGTCTCGTGCCTCGTAGATTTGGTCTCGTAACGTCTTAATGTACTGTAGCGAGAAAATTAAAACCGTTTTAGAAAATACGTAGTACGTGACGCGATCGTGCGAGGTATCAGCTAAATGGGAGTGGAATCGATTTGGGGCGTTGAACGTATTTTCTTTGAACGGGCGTGCAAGTCCATGGGAAAGGGTTCGAAAGTTAACCGTGTGACTCACCGTGTCTTTGAAACTCGAAAATACTTTGAAAGAATATCGAACTCTATATAATTCGGGAACGGCACGTTGAGGAAGCGAGTCGGAAAAACTTTCTATATTTGAATGAGATTTTGCATCGAGGACGATGGATCGTGAAGGGAAACGGGCTGCGATATTAGCGGCGTGTCTTGATTTCCGTGTTCAATTTAATGGAACGCATTCAGAATTTTATTCGAGAAGCTGAAATAGGAAAACTGTGTCTCTCGTACAGCTCCTATTGGAATTTTCATAAACGCGTGCATTTCTATTTGCCGGCTATTCGGATATGCGCTTCCTCTTCGTTTCTCGAATTTTTACGACGTCCCGTCGGACTCGGACGAGGCGTTTAACAATGATTCTGATCAGAAGTTCGAACCCCCGGCGGTATTCGCTAATAAACCTTCTTCGCGTGGGAAGGGAAAAGTGCAAAGTGGTATGACAACAACGATAAAATAAAGAAGGTTTCCACTCCCTTCCGTCGAAGAAACTGCTGTAATGAAATGGGGCTGTCTGGCGGCAATTGGGGTGGAAAATCTCTTAAAGAGTTTCTCCCCGTGGCACGCAAACTCGTTTATTCGAAACTTTTAAAAAACGATGTTAACACGCGGAAAGAATAAAGCTGACAACTACGAGGTCAATGCCTTTTCTCTATTGTATCGCTAGAGGATTGCGCGTGAGAGACGAATTAACTCGTGTGGTCATTTCATCGGGAATACTAATTCTCGTCATTTTTTACAAAAGCTGTCTAAATGATCGATGCTCGAAAATACGTACTTGAAACGTGTCCTGATTGCTCAGATCGAACACGAGCACGTAAGCGTTCGCACTTCGCAGCCCGTAGTAGCGAAATTCGGTCCATTCGAGGTACGAGCTAACTGGAAAGTACGGGATCGTCGGTAGATCCGTGATCTTTAGCTCGTACAATCGATCGGCGAGTACCACGCTCGGATAGAAAGTCTCCCTCCGTTCGGTAGCCTTGTATTCCTCGGAGAATTCGCTCCAGACGAATTGCTGCAATCGACAAACGGCGACTAAAATACCAACAACCGTTTCCGATCCGTCATACGCCGGTATGAAATAAACGTAGAGAATTCTGGGATATCCGTCGACCTCTCAAGCGGAGGAACATGATTGTTTCTGGGGACAGTTACGTTATGTCCTTCCCGGACGTATGATAGAAAAATGTATAAGAAATAAAATGGATAAAGGATTCTATTGTTTCGCGAGGATTCAGATTTTTCGAGCGTGTGCATTGTCATTCAGAATGTATCGCCTGTTGCTTCGCTATGGATACTCGCTCTCCGATGCTCCAGTAGAAAGCGAAAAAGAAATTCGTATCTTTCAAAATACATTTTTTTTTTAATAAGAATTCGTCCGCGAAATATTTTCTGAGCTCTAAGAAACGATCGTCGTTTCCCGTCTCTCGAGAGGCGATCTTTGTGAGAATTTAGAGTCGGTCGAAGGAAGTGTTGAACAGAAAACGTTGTATCGACGTATTAGGCAATCGAATACCCTGCGTTCCTCTTGGAACGACTTTCAATTTCCTCAAGGGACGACGTTTAACCGGAAACTGGTCCCGGAAATGAGCGGAAGTCATTCACGTCTTGCGGAGCAACGTTCATCGCAGTTCAGTTGAATAGCTGGACGACTTGGCAGACTGATCGATTGAAAATATATCGGGACTATTAAATCCTCATTTCCTGTTCAAATCACATTTCCTTGTCTGTCATTTCGCTTGGATATCGTCTATAAATTCGAACGCTAGTTATTTACAATCTTTTTAGAAAGATAGAAAATACAGTCTCTGTGCTCGCGTTATCTATAATCAGGCGTCGCTTATCCGTGCCTTTCGATTGAACAGCACGATAACTTTTCGCGATACAAATCCCAGGATTCTCATTTGCATATTTTAATGAAAACTGTGACTCGCGTAGTTTGGGTCACGAAAACCGAAAATCAGGTTCGGTATGACGCGAAATAATAAAACGTGGAAAGTCGGTCGTCGAAGGGGAGGAACGATACACTTTATTCGTGGATCAGTCGGGGTGTCGGTTTAATCGAGTGAAATTAGTGCTCACCCTAATTATGCTGGACTTTCCGACCCTAGGTGCTCCGAGAAACACGACTTTGACACGATCCAGAGTGTCTGCGGGACTTTCTTCCTCCTTCGATCCGCTCTCGGCTTCTTCATAGATTATTGTCTTGCCTTCCCTTTTCTCTAAGTAGTCCAGATCGAGTTCTACGAATCATTCACGCACTTGATGCTCCGTTCGAACGTCTTACCAAATTTTTCTAATTATATCAACATTTTTTAACTTTCGTCGGACGTGAGAGATTTCAAAGATCCGATCTTTGGCAGGTCCAGATTTCCAAGTTATAAAATGTGAATATAAGAAGAGGGTGTGTACGATGAAAATGAACGACACGTGCAGATGTTTCTGACTACGATTTTAAAAAATTCCCATTGTCGCGTTTTTTGCCGACCTTGAGACCAATACCAAAAGGGAAACTTTCAAGAATTCATGAACGCGACTATTTTTACTAGCGTGACGCGCGACGCTCTCTCCCACCTCTTAATTTCAATGCAAGGCTTCTAATTGATCAGAACGCTAAATCTAGTGTCTCGTGATTTAGTTATCCGACATTTATGAAGCAGCTAATTTTGTCCCGTGGCTCGTATTTACGTGTATCCTCGTTACACGACTCTCTCTCGTTCTCTTATTCACTCGAGACACGCTCCCGTTTATTAATCATTCCGAATTCCGTTGTAGTGTCCATTCCTGAATCAGGATCGTTACACGGTGCAACGCCGACGACGAAACAGCTCGCGTTTGGTAGAAATCTAACAATGCGACAGTTCGCGTACGTCACAATGGCCGAAAATTAACATGTGCGTGCACAAATTTTACTACCTATCCTCGTTCGCCGATCGACAATTACATCGGTTCTCGCGAATAAAGTAAACGATGTTAAAGAAACGGTAACGTCGACTCCGTCTGATACAAACGCGCGTACGTGCTACAGTCCAATAAAAACTATTGACAAGGGAGCTGTGAAAAGTTGGATAATTTAGCCGTCGAACGATGTACGAATCGTGGAAGTTAGAATAAAAGTTTCGCGCGTACATCTTGCATTATTAACATTGTATTTTCTTCGAGTTGGCGAACTTTTCATCAAGAACACGAACGTTTTAACGGGACGAACGATATCGTCAAAGTCTCGCCTGAGACACGCACGAACGATCGTCGTTGCTCGAAACTCGCGTTTTCGATACGAGTTTCTAAACGTAGATCACAGCCTCGTTGCCTACTCGTTTATAATCCGCCACGATTAGTTGTATAAGCGATGAAATCCCGTTATCCTCGTTGCTCGAAGTTCCTTCGTAGGAATAAGCTCAGTTTTAAAGAGAGTAACGACGTCAAGATTACCTCCGCAACGTCTCGCAGGATCTCGCAGAGTTTCGCGATTACGTAAAATACATTTTCATAACGAAGTTTACTGGGGTAACTTTTGCTCGGTAGATTTTTCGATGCGTCGAAATAGTAGCGGCTATCGCAGCTTTGAGCACGAGCTCGACTCCTGTTTTTACGTCTAACCCGATCGAACTGGTTCAATTATTCACCGGAGGAACCGTTGGTAATTCGTGACGTCTGTAATTTGCATGCTCGTATGATTCTCGAATTTTGAATACTCCCCGGTTCGCTGGCAAATCGACGTTTATCAAATGTTCTTTTGTTCCCGTGAAGCACGTTCAACGAGCCCGAGTTCGAGCAATCGAACGTGAATCTCGTATTGCATTATTTCGATACGAGGAAGCACTGCTGTTTTCCTCTTTCAAACCAGTTTTCAGTGAAAAATCATTTGGAAATATGCTCGTATGAACTTTAACGTTGCGGTACGAATAATTTATTCTGTTTTTTTTTTTTAAACATGAATTACTTTCAGTCCACGTTCCTTTCATTAAACAAATAAATCTATCGACAACTATTCAATTGTTTTGTGAACAAAATGATTTCGTATAAAATACGCTTATTGGGAAAGTAGACGAACTACACTTGACGATTTCTTTCGTCGAGACGTACTTTTCACGTACTTCACGGTTCACTGTTTTACTTTTCCTTTCAATGCCAATTACGCGTAAATTCTTATACGACTTGGACAGACTTGTCGTCAATCGTCGAATCATTGTTCGATCTGTGTGTCTGTGACGAGAGCTACGTAGCAATGATTCTATCGGAGGTTTTTCTGCTCTAAATTCGTCAACTTGGATCTCTGTAAAAATAAAATCATAATCTGTGACGATCGTCAGCGATCGAGCTTTCGTTCGACAGGAAAAAAGAGTAGGCGATGTAAAGTGAGGGTGAAAGACGCGACGCGATGTCAGATTTTTCTCATATGTCGTGAATCGATTACCCAGAAGTCGCTTGTCTTGCTCTCTTCTCGCGTGGTCCATCGGGGTGAACGCGCGATTTCCACGGACCGGTGCACGAATGCGTACTGTCGCGCCCGCGAAGAGCAAACCGCGTGCCAGCCTCACGGTCGGAGTTCGCGGCTCGACTGACATCGGTGCTCTCTCGAGTACGAGCGACTCCGAGGTGCGCTCAACGACGCTGATTGACGCGTGTGTCCGATGCTTTTGAATCACGTCGCGGGTTCATCGGCGTCGAGAAAACCCGAAACGAGCGAACTCTGACCCCTCGTCATCGAAAGTATACGCGAAATCGATTGTTCTCCGATTTTTCCGACCCGAGACAGACCTCTGACCGATCATGAGTACATTTTACAAACGCGTTTAGCCGTTCCTGTTTCCATTTTCGTTGGCAGAAGTCGTCGGTGGACCGCAGATTTTATGCATTTATAAAAAAGCTCGACGCGACGAAGCGCTGGCCCTTGAGAAAGTACCGAACGAGACTCGCGGGGTATATTCGTGAATAGAAAACCCTTTCCATCCCCTGTTAAATTAATCGTAGGCCAGAACCTGATTCACGGTCGGCACTGAATTTTTTTAGAAAGAAACCCTACGACGAATCTAAATTGTCTTGAATATCGAAAACAACAAACTTGTGTGTGATTTTCATACTTGCTGAAACTTGGTCTCTCGAATTTAATCAACTACACGTGCCGTAGAGTTTCATTGAACACAAGTCCAATCGTGATTTACACTGGTCGTAACATCGTTTCATTAATCTCATCTCGCCCATGAACGAAGGACTGCAATAATTAATCTCGGCCGTAATTGAACAGTCGGATTAAACGCACGTACATCGACTAATTCCGTTTTACGTGAACGCGTTACTACACTGCGGTTTCGCCGTATCGTCCGCCTATTCATCTCGATCGCTGGTAATAAAAATTTATAACGTGTGCGACGTCGTTCGTATTTACGTGTAAACAGTTTTTAAACGATTTACGTTCCGAAACCGATCGGGCTTGTCCAGACGTTCGATCGTAATTAACACGGTCCCCAGCTGTTGATCGTACACGATTCTACAGAGTTTTATCGAGCTTGTTGTATTTATGGATTCCAATCCCGAAGATTGCAATTGCGGTCTCATAAAACCTCCGATAATCTTCGGTCTCTGGCATCCAATAAGAACGTATATACTCGTGACCCTTACAATTTAATATCTTTTACCGCACACGTCGAATCGATAAGATGATACTGTTTCGTACTGCTGGAAAACATGAAATTTATCAACGTCGTTCGATTCAAACTAGATCGTTATTTCATACGATTGCGTTCTGATTAATGCGTTCAGTCTCGATCGGGCGTTCCGATGTTTGCGAGAAGTCGCGTAAAAATGTTTGAACAAACGTGAATCCGTGACGGTAGGCGTTCGTCCCATCGGGAGGAGAGAGAGAGTAGACCGCAGATTTGCATCGGTAGCGATCGATACGCGTATTGAAGTGGTTTAGTCTCGATGCGATTACGATGAGAAAATGAACTTACGACATTGTTTCCGCGGCGGGAGGCTTCGCCTCCTCCTGCCGCTCGCAGTTTTTGTCCCTATGGTTATCGGTGTTTCCCAAGAAGCATCTCATTAACCGCCCCCACCGCGGGCCACTCTGATTAACACTTAATACTGCCACTGGTATAAAATACTATAAATTCGATCACAACTCCTCCTCCTCCTCCTCCTCCTATTCCTGATTCTCTCGTTTCGACCGCGTGTGTCTCCGTTTGAACTCCACGCTGTTATCGTAGCGCGTTAATCACACTGTACTCTCGTCGAGGCACGACACGATCCGGGCCGCGAAGTCGACGCTTGACCGCGATTTAATTAGAACGATCGGGCCGACCGTTTCGATTTTATTGTCAGACACGGTGACTACTCGTTGGCGAGCGGAGGAGATCTTTCAACGAGCCCCGTTCACGTTTCTAAGCTTCATTCTTATCGAGCTCTGGCCACGCCGACACACTCCCCGGAACGATCTCGCACCGTCGTCTCCGTGCACCGATTACGTAACGCATCGCGACGATGAACGGCGCGAACCTCGCGGATCTCGGCCTGGATCCCCGACGGACGACCGGTGGTCTCGCGCTCGCCGACCGACCGTCCCATGGCTCGGCTGTTTCAAACGCGCTCGCTTCCCATCCGCACAGACCGGGAGAAAGACCGTCCGTCCGTCCGTCCGCCCGCCTCGCCCGCGAATCTCCGAATGCGTTCGCCCACGCGGACACCACTACCGTTAACCTATTTTTCCCAGAGTCGAGTCGATCGATGACGATGTTGTGCACGATCGGTCGGTCGCGCGCCGCGTAACCGTGATCGATCTCCCCGGGTCCGCACGGTTCTACTCTCCGTCGAATCGATCGACGCGGAAACGGAGCAGTGGACCGCGAGCGGGTAGCCAGACGTACATCGCGTGTCGTGATCCCCCGAATCCGTGACGAGCCGTCGCGGTCGTACGATTAGCAGCCAACGGTCGGAGGGAATTCGCACGAGGTCTCACACGGGATCGCGTCGTTGAATCGCGGGACGAGCGGAGACACTGGAGCACGGCATCTCTTACGCGGTCTCGTTGGTGCCTCGCGAGGGACGCGGCGAACCTCTCTGGTCGCTCGTTCCGTCAGGGAACCACCCCGCGAGAGTCCCGCGGTTCGACGAGACGCGGTGTCCCGGGCACGCGATCAATCTCCCTCGTTCTATCGCGAAACCAGCCAAATGCACGGGTCCAACACGGATCGCATCGCGGAAACATGAGAACACGGGCTGTTCGCCCGTCGACGACGATGCCAACCCCTGGACGATCGAAGCTACCGACGGAGTCACTCGGATGCTGCGCATGCGACCGGGGGTTGGTTCGCGCCAATTTCCTTCCGTCACATTGACTCTAGGCTTTCTCCCTGTACGCCTACGATGACCAGGTCCACGTTCGGGGATCTGCTATTCCCCTCGGAACTCGTCTTCATTTATTTATTCGTAGCTCGCTCCCTCGGTCTTCCCTCGGGACCAAATCCGTGCTCCATCGTGTTACCGAGTCCGTCTCAAATTATGTTTGTCGAGTGAATGAAACGTGAGAAACGAGCTCATTTTTTTGTCACAGTTATGATTCAACCAGTCCTTTCTTTTCACTTCCATTTTTATCGCATTTTATGAAATACCTTGCATTTCTGTCTTTTTTTTTACCGTCCAGACTGCTCGTTGTATATGCCGTGTATATTAAAGGATTCTCTAACACATATAAATAAGTAATTCTTCAAATTTGAGAGTAGGACATAAAATGTCGAAACGAAAATATAAATAAGTAATTCTTCAAATTCGAGAGCAGGACATAAAATGTCGAAACGAAGGAAGTCAGGCAGTAAAAAGGAAGGTTGTCCTCCCGGTGGGCCCGGACCCCCGGCAAGTCGGAGATCCGGGGATTGCGGTTGTACGACTGCTACCGCGGCCCACCGAAGAGGCACCAGTAAAAAATTAAGTAGTTTTGTTGACTGTAGGATAATTGATCTTAATTATGCATCATTATCGTCTGCATTATTCTATTGCAAGACGATTCATGGGTGTTAAGTGAGAACCTAACGGGGTTCGCCTAACGGGGGTAGTAGCCTAGTCTTAAGAAAGGTTTCTTATACAAATAGTAGAAAAATGTCATATCATGCGCCTTTAAATCTTGGCTACTCGATCGCATCCCTACTAGTCACGGTTCTCTCGATATGCGATGACTATAGATAGAAAGAATCAATCGTCGTACGATCGACTCTCAATAGAATTGGTTTTTCTTTCGTCGTTTTTCCCGACCGTCTTAAATCTCCATTCTGTTGACTCGCGTCGTAAAATTTCTAAAGTATCGGGAAGTATCGAACCCTCGTCACCGATACTCGTAGGATGCCTCGAACCGATTTCGAATTCGTATTCCGGGCCGGCTGGTTGGTATCCCGGTTTGCGCGTTCCGATCAAGGAAAGGGAAGGAAGGATGCTGTGAAAGAGGAAGACCTATTTATCATAGGACGGAGGTCGGCCGATCGAAACTATTTTCTGGTAAAAGCCGCGTTGCATGTCGGGCATGCGCGCGTTTCTCCGCGATCACGTAAGGATTTGTGTTAAACAATAAACTCGTATCGATTCACTCGTTTCCCTCTATTTTTAATAACCGAGCTTCTCGCACGGACATCAGGTGAACAGAGCGTCGAACGTATTTTCGAATTTTATGCGTCGACAGGAAAAACAGGAATTGTCGATCGGACTCTCGGTCCGTTCGTTCGTTCGTGTCTATGAATAATTATAACTTCGATCGATCCACGTTTATTCAATAAACGAGTAGGAAAAAATATAGTTTTCACCGAGAAGTTCGACCTGGTACGGAAAAACGTCTGGTTTTAATTAATCTGTTGCTGGAAACCTTGCGAAGTTAATGAATCAACGTTGAGAGACGGAACGAAGTAAGGGATATTTATTTACGAGAATACCGTGAAACATTTTGTAAGACAAATATATTGTAGTTTACATAGAGAGAAACGATTTGTAATACTGACGATTCAATTCACAATATGATTACAGCACTAACGTTCATGCTAATTAAATGCACATAATAAACATTGCGTTGGTATTGCTGACCTGCTATAATTATTAATTACCTGCGGGCTAAAACAGAGATTTTTCTTTAGAGATCGTATTTAATGTAAACAGTAATTACGAATACAAAATTATGGTTAATTAAAATTACGCCACGTTCTTCAACGCCTGTCCGTCGAACTATTTACTATGCAGACTTACGTTTGAAAAATATTATTAGTTCTCGTTCGGTTGGTCGGTGAGATATGAAAAATTCGTGTGGTATTCATGTACATTATTTATAAAATTAACGGCTCAAAGGAACTGCCGTGCACGAGTAGTGGATGAAATGTCGTAAAAAGAGCAACGGAACGTTGCGATGGTCGTTCGTCGGACTCGCGTCGTCGCGTTTACCATTTCGTTCGATCGTATTTACACGGAACACTACAGCGTACGATAATAATTGTCGACTTGCAAATTAAAAATCGATTGGTATTCGTAAGGCGAACTTCCGGCATAGCGTGGAACTGTTAATCAGTTCGACATCCTTTTACCAAGCGTCGTCGTTTCGCCAAGAGAGAAATCTCTCGAGTGCGAAAAATACCGACGCGAACGTTCACCGTTAAAAATCTGTAAAAAACTATTTTAGACATCCTCGCGCTTACATCACAGTATACTGTACAAGATTATATTCAGCGTAATGTTTCCCATTCGTTGCAAGTTGCAAGCGCGACTTATTTAAGACCTAGTCCGAGTCCCCAACTCGCTACTTACATTATGTTTTTTTTTCGACTCGCCTCTTAAAGTACGGTTAAAAAAGTCGAGTAGATTCTGAGTCTCAAATCGAATTCGTCTCGCTCGTTGCAATTCTCTTAAAGGGTAGAAACAATTTGAACGTATATACATGGTTAGCTATAAATGTAGCGAAAAATAATTCGTTCCTCGAACAATTGGTAATAATTCCTGACAAATTTATGTTTCGTTTCGACTGAGCAAATCACCGTCGTACAGATTCTATTGTTACTCGATTTTCTTCGTTGCGAGTGATAAAAGTGGACGGTTCCTGTGGTTGACTCGTCAAAGGCGAAAGATACCCTGTTCAGAGTCTGTAATTCGCAGCTTCGATCCCATATACGTACGTGTAAACCTTCTATAAAATATGATAACAAGACACGAAGAGTACGCGTCGAGTGATCTCATGCACGTTTGCATACACCGTTTTACGTCGACTCCCAAGACGAGCGATCTCGAACGTTTACTTGAGCTGCACCAGCACCATGAAGTAGGTGACCATGGCTCCCAGTACCTAAACGATTCATAATTAATCAATGGTTAGGAGAGAAATTATTTTCATTCGATCTCGTCGTCTGAGTAGAGAATGTTAAATGTAATCACCGAAGCGAACAGATCCAGGGACACGGTGAAGAACTTTGCCCCTGAGATCGACATTGCTTTCTGACACTGCTGGCACACGATCTGCACGAAGGTCTTGGCCTCTTCCGAACCGTCGTACCAGTGACACGAATACGCAGCTTCCATCACGGACGAACTCTGCGTGCGAGACACGCGTAAATTAGAAGACAAGACAATTAAATTTATGATCAGTGTGCAACACGGGATGCAGATCTGAAAAAATGTTCGACGCGTGTTTCTGTCGATCGCTCGTGTCAGAAGGACAGCCCTTAAAGTGTTGATTCTATAATGTCAACCCTTGAAAGTCCGCAGATTTTCGCTCCCAGGTTGCTTCGGTCAACGCTGTTAATTTATGACCGTAAGAATACTCTGTTCAGAATATTGTGTACAGGCAGAATTCAATTAGTGAAACCAACATTTTCGGCTCTAGGGAGGTGATAAAATCCCTTCATAGAAATTAGTAATCGTGGTTCGTGACACTCGAGATCGTCTTTAACAGGCGCGAAAGTACCGAAAGGTAGAAAAATACAGTTTCGGGGATTTTCGCATTTGCGAGAAAAGCGATTTTTGAAATTCTTTTCCTTTGGTTCTCCGCGATTGTCTCGGAACAGTTTGAATCAGTTATTTGCAGAACTTTTCCGTATCACACATCCGAAGCGTCGAATATTCTTCGCGAGATCCGAATCCCGTGCGTGGAGGTTTTCTCGCGCGGAGTATACATACCTCTTCGATCAGACGGTTTCCAAATATGCACAGCAAAAATACTTGTCCCAAAGAGTAGAGCAGGTAGCCGATCACCGACGCCGAATACGTGTCCACTCCGTGTATCTACCGAGTAAACGAACGCCTTCGATTCGTTGTCTAAAAAACGATGCAGAAGCAACGAACACTTACCTTGGTCGCTTGATAAGCGAGTAGAGTCAACGTGATGGTGGTGGTCAACATGTGTAACAGTAACGCTACGCCGTAAGCGTCACCCACCGCAGTCACCAATCTGAAAGATACCAACAATTTTCACAGTAATAGAAGCTTTTATCTTTTATCTGCGAAGCGAGAAAACGTGGTATCGGTCGTCGAAAATAATTATTAAATGATCGTCCAAGTGGATTTGAATGTCGGAACCGCGCGTATTCTCATTAGACGGTAAAACCCTCGGAGCAAGGCAAACCCAATCTGTTACGATCCCCTGTGGCTACGGTACAACAAAGTTTTAATTTAACCCAGTTCACTGGACGAACGCGATTAACCAGTTGTCCGGAGTTTATGATTGAACAACCTCTCCGTCCCTGGCTCCTTGCTCGTTTCTGCGCTTCCTTTTTACCGTTTCAATAATGCATTTCACGGAGCGTGTCGTCGAGTTACCTCTGTCTCAACTCGAATGATCAATACTTTCAAGTGTATTAAAGGGGTAGAGTAAAAGACGTTCAACAGTTATTCCTCGGCACACACGTTCATTCCCACTTTAAGATCGCACCGTCCATTAAGGCGAGCTCCTAAGGACTATCCGGCGGAGAGATCGTTATTAAATCCGTGATAGATCTACTGAAATTAAATTCTGGCCGTTCGTCGAGGATCTCTCAGTAGAAAATAGTCATCGTTCCTCTTCCTGTGACTAATCACGGTTCGAACGATTCGTTCCTATCGTAGAATCGATCAAGTCGCGATTCAAGAACTCGGAGCTTGTAAGGTGAACGTATGTACACGTAACGTATAAAGTACGTAGATACTGTATACAGACCGTTTAATATTCCATTTGGTTGTTCGTACGCTCGTCGGGGGGGTGGCGAATCGATTTTCGCGAAACGAAAGCGAAACGCTCGAACACGAGGCAACAGGTTTTCGTGCACTTTCGTGGGACTAGGGGGCGAGAACGAAAGATTCGCGTGGGCGATGTTCAAAGGGCAAACGTTGAACGCGCATCGTCGACGTGTGAAACGTGTACGGACACGTGTCAGACACCTATACACGTGAACAGGTCGAACAAACCCTGAATTGTCCGCTCGGTACGTCCCCAGTTGCGGTCAATATCGCGCTCTCTTAGAATAAATACTTGACCACCGTGGGAATACACGCATTCCCTCTGTTTCTCCATCGTCCAAGAACCCGTGTGTGTGTGTGTATAGAGAAACGCGCGAGGCTTCTCTTCCTTTTCTTTGAAAACTTTCTTTACCGCGCGGCTTTCCCTCGCGTTTCTTTTACGCCTTCGAGCCGTGATCTCCCTCGTACGAGAACCGAGGGGACAGTTCGTTCCTCTCGACGCGTCGTTCATATTTTAAAAACGATTGATACACCGCGGATTTTTCTGACAAACGAATTCATTCTGTATAGACATTTGTTTGTAACAGAAAAGTCTGTGGAACGTGACTTTAAACGTAAAATGATACGAATTGGAAAAGGTATCTGTTCCTTGTTCGGTTCTGAGAAGGTTGCAAGAATAGAATTTAACGAGAACTCGGTTCTCTCTCGAGCCTTGTTAGCCAAATAGTAGTTTGCGTTTGTCAGTATTTATCGACACTTGAAATTAACCGAATAGGTGGAAATTGTTCAGACGCCGTGGAGCGAATTGCCCCGCGTAACGATGGAAGAGCGAAACCGCGTTCGATTAGCTATAAAGCTTTATTGAAACGCGAAATCGATAGAACGCCGGTCGAATTTCGCCGTGCCAGCGAATTTCAAAGATGATCAGGCGAGCTTTTTGTCCACGAACGGTTCGCCATTGTACGAATCTATCGAATAATTCTTCGTATCATTTCCGGTGCAGGTCGAAACAGTCGAGGAGTTTCACGACACGCGAGTTCCCCGTGAGTACCGGCTCGGGTTCGCGTCTGAACGTCTGAGAGCCGGGCGATAGAAAGCGTCGAGTAAACAGAATATTGATTTGGAGGTTCGCTCACTTACGACCGCGGAAAAAATTTCTCTGACTGAATTATTCACCGGCGACGCGACCTACGTGGCACTTTCGTAAATTGTGCTTCTTTATTTCATACGTCTAATTACGTCGAACGTCACGGGAAAATTCTACGACCGGTTCGGATGTTTCAACGTAATCGCGAGTTTATTCTTTGCTATGATAAAATCCCTTCATAGAAATTAGTAATCGTGGTTCGTGACACTCGAGATCGTCTTTAACAGGCGCGAAAGTACCGAAAGGTAGAAAAATACAGTTTCGGGGATTTTCGCATTTGCGAGAAAAGCGATTTTTGAAATTCTTTTCCTTTGGTTCTCCGCGATTGTCTCGGAACAGTTTGAATCAGTTATTTGCAGAACTTTTCCGTATCACACATCCGAAGCGTCGAATATTCTTCGCGAGATCCGAATCCCGTGCGTGGAGGTTTTCTCGCGCGGAGTATACATACCTCTTCGATCAGACGGTTTCCAAATATGCACAGCAAAAATACTTGTCCCAAAGAGTAGAGCAGGTAGCCGATCACCGACGCCGAATACGTGTCCACTCCGTGTATCTACCGAGTAAACGAACGCCTTCGATTCGTTGTCTAAAAAACGATGCAGAAGCAACGAACACTTACCTTGGTCGCTTGATAAGCGAGTAGAGTCAACGTGATGGTGGTGGTCAACATGTGTAACAGTAACGCTACGCCGTAAGCGTCACCCACCGCAGTCACCAATCTGAAAGATACCAACAATTTTCACAGTAATAGAAGCTTTTATCTTTTATCTGCGAAGCGAGAAAACGTGGTATCGGTCGTCGAAAATAATTATTAAATGATCGTCCAAGTGGATTTGAATGTCGGAACCGCGCGTATTCTCATTAGACGGTAAAACCCTCGGAGCAAGGCAAACCCAATCTGTTACGATCCCCTGTGGCTACGGTACAACAAAGTTTTAATTTAACCCAGTTCACTGGACGAACGCGATTAACCAGTTGTCCGGAGTTTATGATTGAACAACCTCTCCGTCCCTGGCTCCTTGCTCGTTTCTGCGCTTCCTTTTTACCGTTTCAATAATGCATTTCACGGAGCGTGTCGTCGAGTTACCTCTGTCTCAACTCGAATGATCAATACTTTCAAGTGTATTAAAGGGGTAGAGTAAAAGACGTTCAACAGTTATTCCTCGGCACACACGTTCATTCCCACTTTAAGATCGCACCGTCCATTAAGGCGAGCTCCTAAGGACTATCCGGCGGAGAGATCGTTATTAAATCCGTGATAGATCTACTGAAATTAAATTCTGGCCGTTCGTCGAGGATCTCTCAGTAGAAAATAGTCATCGTTCCTCTTCCTGTGACTAATCACGGTTCGAACGATTCGTTCCTATCGTAGAATCGATCAAGTCGCGATTCAAGAACTCGGAGCTTGTAAGGTGAACGTATGTACACGTAACGTATAAAGTACGTAGATACTGTATACAGACCGTTTAATATTCCATTTGGTTGTTCGTACGCTCGTCGGGGGGGTGGCGAATCGATTTTCGCGAAACGAAAGCGAAACGCTCGAACACGAGGCAACAGGTTTTCGTGCACTTTCGTGGGACTAGGGGGCGAGAACGAAAGATTCGCGTGGGCGATGTTCAAAGGGCAAACGTTGAACGCGCATCGTCGACGTGTGAAACGTGTACGGACACGTGTCAGACACCTATACACGTGAACAGGTCGAACAAACCCTGAATTGTCCGCTCGGTACGTCCCCAGTTGCGGTCAATATCGCGCTCTCTTAGAATAAATACTTGACCACCGTGGGAATACACGCATTCCCTCTGTTTCTCCATCGTCCAAGAACCCGTGTGTGTGTGTGTATGTCAGTATTTATCGACACTTGAAATTAACCGAATAGGTGGAAATTGTTCAGACGCCGTGGAGCGAATTGCCCCGCGTAACGATGGAAGAGCGAAACCGCGTTCGATTAGCTATAAAGCTTTATTGAAACGCGAAATCGATAGAACGCCGGTCGAATTTCGCCGTGCCAGCGAATTTCAAAGATGATCAGGCGAGCTTTTTGTCCACGAACGGTTCGCCATTGTACGAATCTATCGAATAATTCTTCGTATCATTTCCGGTGCAGGTCGAAACAGTCGAGGAGTTTCACGACACGCGAGTTCCCCGTGAGTACCGGCTCGGGTTCGCGTCTGAACGTCTGAGAGCCGGGCGATAGAAAGCGTCGAGTAAACAGAATATTGATTTGGAGGTTCGCTCACTTACGACCGCGGAAAAAATTTCTCTGACTGAATTATTCACCGGCGACGCGACCTACGTGGCACTTTCGTAAATTGTGCTTCTTTATTTCATACGTCTAATTACGTCGAACGTCACGGGAAAATTCTACGACCGGTTCGGATGTTTCAACGTAATCGCGAGTTTATTCTTTGCTGTACAGTCGAGGCACGGGTCCATCTGTATTCCATAAAAAATGGTAATTTATGCGGAAACTTTCGGTCACTTAGGATCGCGCAATTGGACTGTTTCCACTCTCGTTGAGCGAACAATGAAACTCGAGATGTTTAAAACGAGTACGTTCTTTAATTAAAAAGTTGCCTTCATAAAATCCGAGTCTGAAACACCGAGCGATATATCCTTTTAACTCTCCGGCTGTCTTTCTACGATGTTCGTCGTTTCCAATTCTAACTTCTGAGGAATACTTCTCATAATTGTTACACAGACGAGACTCTCGCCGAGTCAGACAATTTTATTAAAACAGACGGAAAAGCGTGGACCGACGAATTTCCTATTAAATTTCGAGGGAGAAATACAAAAAAATACAGAGACGAAATCGGCACGAGTTCAGTCATTTAGCGGACGCGACCGACGTAGCCGCGGCATTATCCTAATGGAAGTCTCTCATTGTTTCGATTCGCAAATGTGAAAGGTCCTCCTCTCATTGTCGCCGTAAATTACGTTTCCGTGTAGCAGCTGGACTCGAGATGAGAATCGAAATAGGAAACTGGGTTATACCCGGTTAGTCAAGACGCTGACGAACTTTGAAATTGCGACTCGGCGCAATTTAAGTTCGTTCCGGGAATTTAATCTACGAACGTGAGAAAAACGTTTCCCGAGTGCATCGCCGTAGCGAGAATTCACGGCTGCTGCTTCTCTTGTCTCGCGGTGAATCCAATTTTATTCCGAGACTTCCAACGATATTCCCTCACTTTGAAAATCTTCGTCCGTCGCGAGGATCTCGTCGAGAATCAAGTGTAAAAGATCGCGAACGGAACGAGGTACGTACCTGACGATGTGCTTGTGCCTCTCGACCCAATATTTGATCGCGCTTCGGACCAGCATTTCTTGTTTCTTGGTGAGCCCGTTCGGACCCACGCCGCCGTTGAAGTTCATCCCGGCGGTGGGTCGGAAGGTGGCCGTGAAATCGGTCCGATTGCTGTAGACTCCTCGTAGATCCATGTCCAGCATGTTCTCGCCCGGTGGCGGCGGCGTAGGCGGTGGCGGCAAATCGTCCCTCGCTCGTTCCGCGCTGGTAGACTGAAAGGTAGAATAAAACCGAGTAGACACAGACGCGAAATCTACTGTCGTGAAAAGAAAGACGATGATTTTTTTCTGGTTCCTACGACGAGACGCGATCGTATCACCTTGAACAGTTCTCCGCTGTGCGGCACGACGGTGTCCAAGGTAGCGCTGAATTCCATCAGAGGTTTCATGATGTTTTTCAAATGCTGTATCTGTTCGCAAGCGAACAACAGCCAGGAACAGAACAACACGTCGAGCAGATTCGCGTCCATCATACAGAAAATTACCCAGTACAGTTGGAATATCAACGTGAGAATGTGCGCTACGCCGTGGCTAGGGTTGAACGGGTACCACGATGGCACTAGCAATCTCGGTAACTGAACAGAGTGATTACGTTCTCGTTAAATATTTATCGCACTTGCGACGAATCGAGTTCGTCTCATTGGGACGATAGTGTTCAATGAATTGAGAATCAGTGGGCCGCGAATTCTTACGGTATGAATTTAAGGATGTATTGGCTATACAATCAATCCGAAAAGTTTATGTACCTTAGAAAAATGCATTTCCTATAATTAAAAATAGTGCATTCTTCTTCTAATTTCGATATTTAATGAGTTACATAC